TATTTAACGACACAAAATCTCTACTTTTAACCTCCCACGCATACCACTTTCTTTCACCTTTCTATATATATCTACCTATCTATCTATCTGTCCCTCTTCCCTTTCATATTTTTTCTCTTTATTTTCTTCCTATTCTCTGGGTGTCTTGTCGCCTAATGCACCGGTGTCATTCCGTGGCGCTCCCGTTTCTCGAAGAGATATCGCGGTGAATTCTCGCGTCTTAAAATCGGAAACCTCGGTTTTAATGGAACTGTACGAAGCATTCGTTATTAAAGGTTCTCGGGGAAACGGCGTTGCTCTATATTTAATTACACACGCGCCCGGTTCCACAAAGACGCAACCGTTCTTTGATGTAACTGGAAGGCGGCGGCTGCGGCGAGTCCACGGACTGCTCCAGCTGTAAAATTCCTTTCCGCGGAAAGTTTATTTCTCGGATGTCGAGGAAGGAGATGTTTGACGGTAACGGGGAAATTCTGAATCGAAGTTGGAAGAAAGTAGCACGGCACTGTGCGTTACCTCGAAGAAAACAAGAGTGGGCGAATTGCGAAGTCTCGAGTTTGCGAGTAACGCGTTTACGTGCCGCGATCGTCTAATCTTGGATAAACGAGTGGAGGAAGGTGGTCTCGTAAGTACTCGGGGCTCGGTTAGGCCCGTCGTTCCACCTGACTACTGCAAATTTCTCCTTTCTACCTAACGTTTGAGAACCCACTATTTTCATTTTGCCAGTAAACGAAACTGTTGTTCGATTTGCAAAGTAAACAAAAAGCGTGTTTCGCGCGAGCCCACTGTCTCGGAAAGATTAAAGGCTCTAAGTGCGGCGGCGTTAGTGTTCCATTTGTAACGCGGAACCATTTTTGAATTCCATGAAAAATGGGTTAGCGTGGTTGGTCGAGGTTGGGCTGTAGTGGCTCGGGTGAAAGAAGACGCGAGCTTGCCAAAGCGAGAGGAGGGTAGGCAAAGCTTCTTCTTCGCTTTGTATGCCGGTATTCGCGCATTAGTCCCGGCCGTGCAAAAGTAGTAGGTATTTCGCGTTATCGTTTACGCTGGATCTCGGTGTTGTCGCGTGCAACACGCGAAACCCCGCGCGACGCTTGACCGCCGGCCACATCTCGAGGCCTGGATCTTCTCGCAGTTGGCAAATTCTTCTGACCCTTTCTTTCCAGACCGTTGTCCGTCCCGTTCCTTATTTCCGTTTCTGTTTGCCAACCTGAATCGATAGTAGAGTAGGAAAAGTGTTTGCAAAGTTTGTTCTCTTTTCGTGGCAAACGAACAGCTGGCAGCAAAAGCGTGAGAGGTTCTTCGTGGAGGAATTTCTCGAGGATTCGTCGAATGGTGGAGACGACGAACGAGAGAAAAAGAGAGAGAGAGAGAGAGAGAGAGAGAGAGAGAGATGGACGCGTTGCACGGAGTTCCGAGTTGTTTTTGCGATCAAAATCTTTTATGTAATCGCGAGACTGGAGAATGTCACGGGAAAACACCAGCGAACGCCGTCCTTGGTAAACGCGGTGTACCGATGAAAACTAGGAGGAAAAACGTGCTTAATGAAAATTAAAGTAATCGCGGTGGGCTACGTCGATGTATCAGCTGTTACGTGGCAACAGGTGGTCCTTTGTCGAGGTGGAAAGAAAAAAAGGAGTTCTGGAACGTAGGTCACGAATTCCGGCAATTATCATCCGTGACATTTCGATTCGTCGCTCTCGGGGCTCGAGTTATCTCGACGTTCGAATTTTTCCAAATAATTTCGGTGACAAGTGTACGTAAGCCAGCGTGAAACGGAATAAAGGTGGAAAATCCTCTGGAGAAGGTTTCGACTCGTCGTCCTTGCGAACGTATCACGATTTTCCGCGCACGAATCGAACGGCACGCGTGCAACGTCCGATAACGTACGCTTCCCTTTTCCGTTGTCCTACTCAATTAGAAGGCTACGATATACGAAAGATTGGCTTGTAATCGCGTCAGGGACTCGTAACTCGCTACGTTTTCTCTTACCTTTCTTTCCTCTCTCTCTCTCTCTCGCCCTGGCATCGCCGACTACATACCTGGAAACGCGTGGCGAATTTTCGATCCTCTTGGACGAACAGGATGCACTCTTGAATGGATTCGCATAATAGGCACGTTTTATGCGAGTAACGTGCCGGCCGGTGGTCAACCGTGTGTCACAGAAATACGTCTATTTACGTGCTGTGTCACGTGAGAATTTGCGAAGCGCGCAATACAAAACGCGGTGCCGGTTCTCTCCGTCTCGGGACTGTTCGTCCTTCGCCTCGAACCGTTTCAACTAGAGTCAAGTAGGTGTTTCGTTAACGGCCGGGGGAATTTCAAAGGCGTTTTCCTTGGAATCGAAACGGCATTAAGAAAGAGTTGCGATGCAAGCGACAAGAACGTTTCACCTCCCTGGACGCCGGGCAAAATGAATTCTGTTACTTACTCGGGCGTGGAATAGTTGAAATACGTCGCCGATGATATCGGAAATGAAAGTGAAACGTGGTCGTTAGATCGAGGAACAGACGGGACCACCCGAGGCTTTGTCGGTTGAATCCTGCAGACTTAGGCAAGCTTAACGAAAATTATTCGATGAAACTTGTTCACGGAGGAGGAACGGTCGAGTATTTCTGGTTCGCGATGAAATTCTCAGGTTACCGAAAGCTGTTGTCGAACAGTTGTTGGCGAGTTAACGGGAGAGAATAAAGTCGCGCGGTAGACGGGACGGGAAGCGCAAAGCGATCCACGCAAAAGCGGGAGAGAGGTATGATTTGCGTGCTCGGTCACGTGAGAGGTAACGCGCGTAGCGCGGAATAAAGCTCTGTACAAGGTAGACGCAGCAGAATCGTGTAATCGATAGATAACTTCTAGTCTGGGTTGGGCTCTAGTTTCGTCGAGAGACGTTGAAGGGAGAATAATAGCTATTCGTCACGAACCGGTGCAAGCCTCCGAGAGAAACGGGAGCTCGGATTAATCTTATGCAAAACATCGAAAAGGGAGAGAGAGAGAGTCTCGGCCCGAATCGTGCTTTGTTGACCCCCTTTTTTTTTATCTTTTCTCGCTGCTACGTTACCGTTTATCTTGGAAACAGAGAATTCTCTTCTAGTAAAAGGTTTCAGCCGCGCTCGACACCTTGCTTCGCTTATTCCTTATTTTCCATCGGCTACACGTGTTACAGTTACCTATTCACCGCTTAGAAACGATGGTATCGGTAGGCGGTGTTGATCAGAGAAGCGTTGTATTTTTCAAGTTTGCTCCATTTGGAAGGAATTTCTCCCTTGACGAGTGTCGTGGAACGAGGTTGCGAATGAAAGAAAGAGGCGGTAGAGAGAGAGGCTGTTATTCTTGTGGAATAAAAGAGCAACTTTCCGTGCAGGAGGATCGATCTCGTTCGGATGATATCGAGATAGACGGCCGCTCTACTCCTCGGACGGATGGTACATCGTGTACGATTCCAGTGTAACGTTGCACAATCCTATTTCTCTTCTCGGTCTTTCCTTATACAACGTAAGGTAAATTGGAACGACGATGCTTACTTGGTTGGGAGAGTACACGTAAAACGAAGAAGATGCACGCGTGTTGTCTCGTACATATTGTTCAATCTCTCTCTTTATTACTTAACCTTGTGCACTTTTCGAAAGCGCACCAGCTATACTTGAGTATGGCGGGCAAAGTGGAACGCGTTTCTGCTCTAGGTCGTGTTCCCGGTAACTCGATCGAGACAAGTAGTCTGCCGCTACAGAGTCAGTACGTGCGTTTCGTTAAGCTTGAAATCACCAGCGGGAAGAATATTACGCGTGTGCCCAAGAGAAGATTCTCCAGTTGGCTCTACCGTTTCAGAATTCACCGGTAGAGGCGAAATTCGTGAATTCCGATGTGTCGTTCGACACGATACGTCGTCTCGCGGTTTCACCGGAATCCCATAAAAGTTTTACAGCGGATCGCCTTCCACCGACGGTGTATTCTTTTCAATAGCAGAAATCCATCTCCATCTAGCGAGGAGAGAGAGTTCGGAGGAAACCGGGACTATTTTCTTTCTCTCGCGAAACGGGGGAAGAAAAGGAGCGTGTGTACGGTGAACGGCGCGGAAAGAGAACGAGGATAACAAAGAGGAGGAGGAATGGGGGAGAAACAGTTTCCACCGGGTGGGAAGCAATTAGAAAAGTCCTCGAATAAATCGGAGCTTTTAAAGCGTGTGCCACGCGCGGTCGCGAATAAAGGGAAAAAACGGGTGGGCCCTCGGGTGGTGGTGGCAATCGGACAGGCCGCCTCCGGGCTTTCGTATCGGAAGACAACAATCAGGAAGAAGCGCGCCTCCTCCGCGTTTAATCCTCTTTACTTCCGGTACCCGGGAATACTATCGGCCCTGTACGTTATCGCTCTAATTGGCTGTCAATTGAACCGGAAAGGAATTCAAAAGCCCGTGCAGTTTCCGTCGTCTAGATACTCGTCGATCCGTTTTTATCGGTATGGAAAATTCGTCGAGCAGTGCGTTAGATCCGTTACAGCGATTTGAAGGGCGAACGAATCGAACAACGAGCGAAAGATGCTGTAGAGTAACAAAAAAGGGGAGGTTAATCGAGGTGTTGGTTGGATAGGAAGGGAGAATCGCACGAGAAAACTACTCGAGACTGTTGTAACGGGTGTTAGACGGTGCGAGTGAGAGAAGAAGCAGCAGGTAGAGACACGACACACGCGCACACAGCTTTCGTTCTCTCGGACGAATGGAAATGATTCGATTGGCGTTGTTTTGAATTGCAGATGGTAGTGGTGCAGCAGCCGTTGGAGTTCAGTTGGTAGTGGCGTGTCCCGGGCCGTGGAGACCACCCGGTGAGAGAAGCGCGTCTGATAACCCGGGGACAACCTGGAGAAGAAGGGAAGAACCGAGGAGACTGGCGGAGATAAAGCGGAAGAGAGAGAGGAAGAAAGTAGGCAGCCGGAAGGGGAAGCAGGCGGAGGAGGAGGAGGGCGGGGAGGGGGAAGGGTAGGGTAGGAGGGAGGGTTAGGGTAAAGAAAGGGAGGAGGAGCGAAGGTGGGAGAGAGAGAGAGAGAGAGAGAGAGGTGGCTGGTCTTGTAGGAGGGCATCGTCCACGGATCTTCCGGTAATTCAGGATCGAACCTTGGGGGCTGTGAAGGTCGCTGATGTCCGCTACGAGCCCTGCCCCTACTCCTGCCAGCTCACCGTCACCCGAACAGAGCGGAGGAAGAAGATCCTCGTTGCTACCGACGCTGAGAGAACTCGCGTCGCTCCTCGTTACCCTAGGCCTTGATCGAAGAAGAAGGGATACATTTTACGAGTATCACTGCTGCTGCTGTATCGCCGATCAGCTCGACCACCCCTCTGAATGTCTTCGCACATCCAAAAGTCGTGCGTGGTGAGGACACAGGTTCACTTCCCCAACTAAATATCAACTATATCTACCTACCCCTTCCTGATCCGACCCTGTGTTCCCTTCCGTTCCCCTCGGTCCGATTAAACAAACAACGTACGAGAAATTCGACAAAGGTTCTCTCCGACTTTACGGATTGTCGCGTTGCTAATATTTTTTCGGAAATAATGGCAGTAGGATACGCGTTGCCGTTGGCTATTCTCCAGCGACTTGGAAGCACGTACATGTTTGAACGCGGTTGATGTTACGAGCAACTCGTAAAGCGATCGAAATTCCGTATGTGGAAGAAAAAAAATCGGCGAAACGAAATACGAGAAAACGACAGTTTCGCTGTATAATTATTGAAACGTAGCGATGTCCTTCACGCGCGACGTATCGTTATTGTTCCCACGGCGGAGATGTAAAAAGGGACGATTAGAACAACGCGATATGTTAGATATAATATAAAGACTCTGGGATAAGCGCCATGCCGTCTCTCGTGGTCCCCACTCTGTGGCCAGATCCTTCGAGAACACCCTTATCGCTTTACACGTGCCATGCCAGCACCGTGACTCAAGTCCGATGACAGCCCAAAGAACTCTGGGAAGTGGGTTAAAGTCCTCGAACGCATCGACCTCTGACACGTGCATCTCCTCTATAGAGATAGATTTGTGTCGAGCTTCGCGGAGAAAGAAATGTCGAATTAATTTTGAAGCTTGCTCGAAGAAATGAGAGGCGTAAAATTGAGGATGAGATGCAACCGAAAGAAGCAAAGAAAGGAACGGAGGAAAGGGAAAAGAGGTTTGTGTACGGCAGGGTTGCTCGTGGACGGGCCAGGGAAGTTGCAAATGGGGAAAGTTACGCAAAAGTAAGATCGGCGAGTTCCCCTGTAAGTAACCGATGGTCGAGCTCGCAAGATATGCCTTCGAAATTAACTCCTTCGCAATTGGAACTTTTCCTCCCGGAGACCCGGCGAAATTTCTCCACCGACTTCTTTTATCCGCGAAAATTCTGTCGGTTGTTTGCTAACTCTGTTAATGCCCTTTCTTTTTTCCTCTTCTCCTTTTCCCCACCCATTCCGCCTCGAGAAACGTAGTAATTGATTTCGTAAGGGGAAATGAAAACGACTCGAGCCAAGGTTTCTTAAATACTTGCCGTTGCACGACCGGGTGACGCTTCATTTTTCTTCTGTTTAACGCGTCTCTTGTCGCTACTTCTATCTTGAGAACGCGTGGAAAGAGATTCGAACGTCGAGTTGTGCTTCCATGCCGAACTCCAGACATTTATTACCCGTTGAAATCATCCGTTTGACCTACATACGAAAATCCTGACGCGCCTACTCTTTTTCGGATTTGATAACGAACAGATTGAACGAGCCTCTTTCTGTTCCCGCGATGTACAGACCGTTTTCCAAAACGACGACACACACGCGGTGCTTTTCTTCTCGATTCGCGGAAATTGTTTTCGCGTCGAGTTTCACCGAGCGGTAGCCTTCTTAGTTTTATGGACACGAACCAATTAAAAAGAGGATTTTCATATAGAGTGGAACATTCATTCTGTTTGCCCAATATTTGCGGTTTAATACGAGGACGTCGCTTCCGTCTTGTTTTCGCACGTGATCTCCGCTACAGCCTCCCGCCGCTCCCCTACCACTTTTCAACGGATTAAATGCTTTTCTCTGTAATTAATAATTACGTGCTTGATTACCGGTGGACCGTTATCCGTGGTCCGATGCTTTTGAATTTTTATTTGAATGAAAATCTGTTGAACCAAGTACGGTGTATTCGAGACGATTTATGAATTTCTGGCCACGGATCGATGGCCAAAGCTGATTAACCTCTTAACTGTGTAAGACGAGTTAACTCGTCGTTGGTTAGCCAATACTTAGAACACAGTAATTTATTTATCGGGGGATTGTTCATTTTGTTATTGGCTATAATTCTTACTCGTTTTTAATTATAAGCTAGAGAGATTGAATTTCTGTTTCAAAGGGGAACACAGTTAAGAGGTAACCGCCGTAGCCAAAGTCTTCTCGAGGAAGATTCGAGTCTCGGACGCTGCTTCTTCCACTCCATTCCCTCCCCCCTTCCTCTAGAAAAGTCTTTCGAACGAGCTGGTTTTATTTGTATTTAATCGATGGCTGATTTACCGGGTTGCAGGGGCTTGAAGCGACATTGAGTGACAGCAAAAAGAAGTACGGCGACAAGGTGAATGCACTTCTGTCCGCCTGGGAGCATGTCACCAATTTCATTCCTGGGGCAACGCCAGAGGCCACCCAGTCTCTCATAGAATGGGCTCACAAGTTAGTACTAGCGTCGATCATCGTTGTTCGTTCCTCCTTTGCGTCGCCGCGAACCGTGTCGCAATTATCCTCCGCGGAATTTCATTTCGAGCGTATTTTCTTGGAGATGTTCCGAAGGGGTCCGAGATGTACGGAGGTTGTACGGCTTGTTGTTGCAGACACACGTTGAAATTGGTACTGCGCGGGGAGTGGCCAAAGTTGTCACCCGCGACGAAGACGCACCTCAGTGTAACGTTACAGAGGTGCGCGTCTCACCTGGTGCAACACCCCGCTGCACCCAGGTGTACTGCCCTGATAGCTCTGGTGCACAACCCATGGACTCATCCCGCTCTCGACAGCATACTTAACGGCCAACCGGATTCCGAACATGAAGAGGGTAGGCATCTTCTCTCTTTCTTCCATCCTTTTTCCCTCTCTCTAAGAATCTAACGACAGGCTGTTTGCTTGGTTGACAGAATTCTGCTGTTCGGAGAAAGGTGAACTGCTGACAATGAGGCTGAAGATACTTTGCGAGGACCGCTGCGAGGACATAGCGGTGAACCTCGCCGCCGCTTGCGTACGTTCTCTCCGACGGAGCGATCGGTTACGCTCGCTCTCCGATTCTCATCACGTTCATTACATGATCGACGTCTATATTGTCCTCTTGTATAAATTGAAACGCACGCAAGATATATTCGCTCAAGTGAGTACCGTTCGGGAATAAAGATTCCTCGCGAATTCGATCGTCGCGTAAAGACTGGCTGGCGAAAGATTGCTACGACTTGGTAAGAAATGCGCGTTTCTTTTCAGCTAAAATTAATGGACCTCAGCGACGGATTGGAGTTGGTCCAAAGACTCAGCGGTGAAAGACCGACCAAGTATGGAACTGCACGCGTTTGGCGAAATTCGATAAAAGCTGCCGAATTGGTTGCACAATATCTCGTTACAGCTGGTATGGTACGCCCTGTACCGGAAACGGGCGCGAACATTTTGGAACAAATTCTAAGCTCTTGGGCATTGTTGCATTCGAAATTGAAAGACGTGGCGCCCACGTTACCGGGGATGATTAGAAAATTAATCGAACCTGCTGAAAGTGCTCAGCACATTTATATATTTTGCGCGGTACTTCTTAAACATGTGAGTATCATCGACCATTCCACAACTACATCCTTCCACTCGCTCTATCCTCGTCAACCCCGTATTTCTAATAAAGCTGGACCAAAGGAATACCTCTTCAATGATCGTCTTCGTTTTTTTCTTTTCTTCTTTCGTTACAGTTTGGTGATAGCATAAAGCCTCTGGTAATCGAACTGTACATCAGGGCGCTGACCACGGATATGAACGAATTGGAGAGTCAAAAAACAAAGTCCGATACAGAGAAGGTCCGCGAGACCGCGAAGCGATTAAGCACGCAGTTCCTTAAGCTAGCCGACGTTGTTGGAAGCAATATCGGTATCGCCCGAGAATGCGTGTTGACGGCGTTTTCGCTGCATCCCACCAGAGCTTGTTACGACAGAATCAAGGAAATCGCCGTTGCGTGTGGGAAAACGAGAGAGGACGGATCGCCCGGTGACAAGCTTAAACGCGTCCTAGAGAATAATCATTCTAACGCCGCCGGGGGACTCGCGAAGACCGGGGAGAAGAAGGATGGAACGAAAATTGGAAACACGGATTCACCCTCGTCTCTCTGCAACTCTTCGTTGCTGCCGGTGTCGTCGTTGTCCAGCTCGACCACGGTTCCGACCACGATTCCGATCACGATTCCGACCACGATTCCGACCGCGATTCCGACCGCGATTCCGAGCACTGTTCCGACCACGCCAACGGCCACCAAGAAGAACATCGATTTCCAGAACGGGCAAGTGAGCAAAAGCTTCGAGCGAACGGATCAACTTCTGAAAAGCATTTTAACTACACCGAACAAGGGAGAATCGACGACGATCTCGACCAGCGACAGATGCCCCCTGCATCCAAAGAGAGATCCACTGTCCAGTGGACCGCTCGGAGAGTTGTGTTTCAATTGTGGCGAGTTCACCGGAAGCGATATTTCCAGGAGTAAGTCTCCAGAATGTTCGGACGCAACGTCCAGAAACGTGGAGAGAACGCTGGACGCTTTGATTTTGATCAAAGGAGACGCGGTCACGGGTTCGGCGAATTACGACGAAAAATCCGTGCCAAATCAAGTTCTAGATGCGGGAAAGCTCGGTCTCTCGCCGCAGCTTTGCGACGATTTGGCGGTGGTATTGAGCAGCCCCCGTTACCACATGCTCAGCTGGGTGCTAGATTGGAAGGAGTTGAACAGCCTGTGCGAGAGATACTTGGAGAACGCCGAGGAGATGAGAAACACGAACAAAGAACTGAAGTACCTCAACATCGATTATTCGCAGTTCAAAGACTGGCCCTCGGAAGACGATACCAAGGATATATTCTTTGGAATCGAGAAAGGATACGAACAGTGGGTCGATTTACCATCGGACAACTCGGAACAGTTCGGTAGCTTTCAACCTGCCGGCAGTTATAAGAGGTCTTCGACCAGGAGGAGCCTCGACGATACAACCACCACCGATTCGGACAGCGGAAGTATATTGCGTATCAGAAGAACGGGTAGACCGAGGAAAATTCACAGATTAGAGTCTTCCGAGAGCGATTACGACAGCACGGAACGTAAACCGAAGCACTTTAGGAACAGAGTGAGTTCGGTGTCGGACAGCGACAGCAATACGCAGGACAGTCAAACGGACAGTCTCGGTAGCGGTGACGGTTGTCGACTGGAGGTGAAAAAGAAGTCGGCGAGCAAAGTAAGTAACAAGGAGGTGAACAAGAAACGCTCGAAGGCTTCCAAGTTAACCGTCGAGTCGGTCTCGCATTTTCATATGCTCGTTAATGAGAACGTTCGACACACGAACACGAACGAAGACGCGAGCGGCTCGGACGTGAGCAGCAACGATATTATAACTTTGTTCTCCGCCGACATGGACGAGAATAAACGGGAGACGATAAAAGGTTCGGCATACACGGCAGCTGCGCCATTGATAATCACCGAGAGACGGAGCGATCCGGCGGTACTTAAATCTTTGAGAATGTTCAGGCCGCAGAACATGAAGAAACCCACGAGAATTTCTCAAATATTGCAAAAGAATCTTCTGAATAAGAGTAAGGACAATAATAACTTAGAAAATAATGCGAACAGCGTTACTAAATTCGCCCCGATGCTCAGCACCCTGAACTTGAACCCGAAGATCGTGTTAACCAGAGCGGACGAGATCGACAGGAAGCTGATTCGGTCGAAGAAGCAGCAGCAGCAACGATTGAGCAGCGGGGATATTACCAGCGAATTGATGAACATTCAGAAAAGCATGCCGTTCTCCCCGAATAAAAACTCACTGTCGACGTATCAGAAGCAGAAGGGAAACGGCGCAGCGATCACGGGGAAAGCGGACTTGACGTCCTCCGATGGACGGGACTTGAATTCTAAATCGAATCTGGGCAAGCGAAAGTTCGATATTCTCGCGAAAGCTGTCAGGGATTCGGATATCTTGGCGAAAAATGTACCGGGTCTGAATTCGTTGGACATGATGGTACCACCGAGGATGCGGCCCACCGTTAACATCGTGCAGCTTTCCAGAAACATTCCACAGAGCCCGAATTCGGCCTCTGTAAACAGCGGTAATACTCCCCCGAGGCCAAACAGAACTCCGAGTGTGGCTGGAAATATTCAGTTACCCGGTACACCTTCTTCCGGTGGCCACGACAGCGGCGTTGGCATGAGCCCAGCCGGTCAGACTCCTCCTCCGAGGTCCTCCACTCTTCCCGACGTCGGAGAAGAAACGAATCAACCTCCGGACAGCTCACCGACCTCCTCTACCAACACGAACGTTTCCAGTCAACTCGAACCGGATTCTAGCCCAAGAACGATGATGCCTATTCGACGGAATCAACAGAACCAATCGCCGAAGAAGTCTCCTTCTCCCTGCTCCGCGGTTACAACAACAACCACCACCACCACCTCCACCAGAGATTCGGGAGTAGCCTCGACGACCATCGCGTCCGAACAGCTTCAAATCGTTTGCAAACCAGACGGTACATACCAGCTGGCCTCCGTCAATCCGAACGTGGTGGCGAATCAGAGGAACATTCTCAATCTGCAAAACATCGTGGACGACGGAGGCGTCGGCAATTTTTCGCGACAAAGCCAGAGGGCTGAGAACGCGAACGCGAACGCGAACGCGAACGCGAACGCGAGCGCGAGCGCGAACAGAAACACTTACGAAAGGTTAACGTCTGCGAAAACGGTCGCGCAATCCGGACAGAACGCCGGCCTGCCCAAGTTTCAACAGGCTTTCGGTAGAACTATATACACGCTCTCGACGGACACGTCGACCAGCGGCGTTTCTGGAGCTACGTCGGAAACACTGGTGCAATCGGCGTCTCCCCAAAAGACGACAAATCTCTCGAAAGCGGTGCAAACATCCGTACCTAATACGCAACAAACCAACCCGTCTGCAGGAATTAACGTACAGTCCATTACAAACATTCCGAACACGTTACAATTATCCACTAGCAGGCAAATATTGAATATCGTTCAAAGCTCTGGAAACAACGTGGCGAACGTGGCGACTAGTCCGAACGCGAATCAAACGTTGACGCAGCTGGTGCAAAGCGTTCAGAATGCCTCGCCGGGTGTGATATACACGCACAAAATTCCTGTCACGATATCCACCACTAATCCGAGTCAACTGAACATTATACCCACTATATCGCATGCAAACTCGATACCGGCTGGAAGAACGCCTGTTGTCAAGCTGAACATTATTCGTGCTCCTTTGAGACAACAAAATATCACGGGCGCTATTCAAGCAGTTTTGACTACTCCTAGATTGCAACAGCAGCAGCAACAGCAGCCGCAGCCGCAGCCGCAGCAACCACCATCACAACAACCACCGCCACAGCAACAGCCGCCGCAGCAACAACCTGCAGTCAGAACGGACAGTTTGCTTGGCTCTTCTATAGAGGTACCTAATCAAGTGAGTTCGACAACCTTGGAGCAATTGAGAGAGTTCGAGAGCGTGTTGGAGCAGGTAAAGGAGAGAAGCACGATTCAACCGCAGTCTCATCAAACAATGTCCACCGCGGTCACTACCACCGTTCAAACACAAACCACTACCCAACAGACGCAAGCCACGAAGCAAGCCACACAGCAGGTCTCTGTGAGCGCTCTCGCTCAGCAACTGTTAATGCCGACGCAGCAACAAACCAGCAACAACGACTTCGCGAGCGACGGCAATACCGTGAACTTCCAGCAGGACGTTTTCTCTCAGAAAGTATCTCTGGCTTATGTGAATCAAAACGCGGGAACCGTTGCAGCTGCAAAAACCCCGAATTCAACACCGGTCGTTGTCGTGACAAGTTACTGCCAACCGGCCGCTTCGCCGGCTTTGAGTGTCACCTCGCAGAGTTCTTCCAGCCCTTGCGTCACGCCAGCTCCGGCTCCGATACCATCTTCTGGCAAAACACCACCCACTCCGCCCTCCTCGAAGACGGTGAAAAAATCCGCGCCTAAAACCGTGAAGACCAGCGCGACCAACACCTCGAAGGCTTCCCCGATACCGAAACCGCAGCAAAAACCGCAGGAAGATGAACAGACCGCTCAAAGGATCTACGCAATTTTGGACGAATACGCCGAACAACTACGAAATTCTCCGGATTTGAACAACAAACCAGCTCCAAGAAGGAGGTCCAACCCGCCGACCAATCCCAGCCAGTCTTCGAAGAGGAAAAAGTCAAACGCGAACAAGACGAAACCGGTTGGCCAGCAGAATTCAGAACTTAGCCCGAGCACCGACGATCTTGGCAGAACCATGGGCAGCGAAGATTCTTCAAGCGGCGTGGTACACGTTCAGGATAGTCCAGCTGGTTTCTCCGCTCCGGAGGAACCAACGAGTAACGTTGGAAACGTGACCGACGCGTCCGCAGAGGTTCGAAATCTGACCAACGATTCGAACGACGGTGTCGAGTTGAACGTGAAGAGGAGAAATTTAATCTTCGCGGAGCCTGGATCGGGGCAACCGAGGGCGGTGATCGTTCAGGAGGCTGTACAGACCAGTTCGGTGAGTGTGAGCGAAGCTCTGGCTTCGGTAACCGGAAAAATGGGAAGCACGGCTGTTTTGGTACCAGGCACTAATTACATCTTGCCGATGAACCTGATGAAAGGTGGACAGCAATTCACGATAGTGTCCAGCGGACCGAAGCTTCTCGCGACTGTGCCCGCGACGGTTCGAGCCAGTGGAAACACCGGAGTTTCGAACACCCTGGTGCTGCAATCCTTTCTGAATCAAGCGGGAAAGATAATCTCGCAACCGGCGCAGGTGAAGCAAGTGAAAATTCCAACGTTGCAGACTTTATCGGGCAATCAAACTTTAACCACCTCGCAAAATGTTCAGGGAGCTTCTGTGGTGATTCCACAGACGGGAAACAGCGGTCAGTTCGCCGGCGACGGAACCACGGAGAAAGGCAATATCATCGGTGATTTGACTATGGCAAAATCCGACACGATCTCCGGAGGAGTTGCCGTCGAATCTGCTACGAACGCGATCGTGGTGAACAAGAGCAATTCCACCATCGGTCTGATTCAACGTAACTTGAACGAGCCAACGGAGAATCAACAGATATGCGGCGTGATCACCAGCAATCCTAATTTAACTCTTCAAGGCGCCAGGCTGTTCAACTCTTCTATACATAAACTATCGACACCAGGACTCAAGTCTGACAACGTGGTTTGTTTAACGCCTACAGCAACGATTGCACACACTCCTGAGAAAAAGTCGCCGCAAGAGAGTCAAGTTCACAACGACAAGCCAGTTTCCATTCAAACTGGCGCTACTATTGCCCTAGCTTTCGCCACTCAGTCGGACGTTTCCATGCTGAACGATGCTCAACAACGACGACAACACCAGCAGCAGCAACAACAGCAACAGCAGCAGCAGCAGCAAAAGGATACGAAGGAGGTATCGACGGAAATAATCCCCGGTGCCAAAATCATCTCTCCGAAGACGGTGAAAAGAAAAATCGACGACGCAATGGGTATGTCGGAGAACGTTCCGAAAACCTTGATCAGTTCCAATTCTGTCGTTTGTTCGAGCAATGCCAGGTCGTTACAGAATAACGAAAAGATTGGTTAGTGTCTCGTTCAGTGTTATTTTACGAATGTCTTGTAGAATCTTAGTAACGTGATCTCTCGTGAAAGTGCTCTTATAACTGTGACGGCGTGAGATGGTGAAAGGGACAGATGATTAATACGGTGTACATTTTTGTTCGCAGATTCTATGTCTACGATAACGGTAGCGGGCAAACAGTCGGGAGGAATGGACAACGCGACGCCGCAGTTCCTGGTAACTGGCGGGCCGAGTAGTTCGGATAGTCAAGAGTCGTCGGGTGTACAACCGTCTGCCGAAGGTATCGACGTATCCTGCAAAGTCGGAAATAGCCTTTTGTATGGAAACGCGAGATTGCAAGAGGCTTGGGAACCAGAGGGGAAAGTATCGCCGGACACACCGTGGCGATACGTACCAACGTCTACGAATTCTTTGAACATCGAACCTTTGAATTCGAGATACTCGGACAACGCGGATAACGTTCAGAGCGTTCTGCAGATTATCAACAAAGGTCAAGGTATCGAGATGACCACCGGGCAGATTTATCAGACGAACACGAAGAAATATTTTATGAATCACACCTTAGAGCCATTCCAACAGTATTCGAACAAGGGTAACGTGATGAAAACGCCGTTGAATCCTAGATTAGATCGAGAATTGTTGCAGCAGAAAATGGAGAGGAAAGCAGCGGCGATAGAACGCGAGATGAAACTACAGAAGAGTTTGTCCGAGGAGTGCGAAGATTTGGGCGTGGACGAGCCAAGTACCAGTGACTTGTTCCCCGAGGCAGATTTGCTCTTCGACACGAATCATTCGCCGTCCTTCGATCACTCTTCTCAAGACGCGTCTTGCAGCCAGCCGTTAGGGATGAAATCGTACAGTGGTTCCTACTTTCGTTCTCTGGACTCGTCCAGTGGCAGCAGGGACGCAAGTCCAATTGCCGATTTGAAGATAAACGAACGTAGAAAAAGCACCAGCCAGCGAATCAGGTCCGCGAAAGATTCGTCGAAGAGATCGAAGAGGGACAAGGTGGAAGAACTGCATTTGGAGAATCCAGCGAAACACATGCGGTTAACTTTGGACAGCTTGAGTCAGGACGAAGCGTCGAACAGCAATTCGGACATATCGAGGCTGTCGCCGACGAATTTAGGATCGTTGGAGAACGATTCGTTGAAAGAGACGACCAGTCGAGCGAAAATCACGTCGAGAAACGGTTCGAAGGAAGGCTCGCCGAGTAGCGTATCTAGCATTCCGTCGAACATGAAGTTGGACATCGACTTGGACTCGGAATCGCTACCTCCGAGCATCAATGTAAATAACACATCGGCAGCGAGCTCGGGGGACGAAAGTTTAACTTTACTGAGCGGTAACACCGCCGACGTGACGATACCCTCGCCACTCTCGCCGATCGCTGGCCCGATGCTGTCGACGCACAAATACACTTACACCAATAAGAAGCGGATTGCGTCGAAGGTGACGAGAATGGATTACCTTTCCTGGGAGAGTCCAATGTCCGAGAGAACGAGATCGAGCAGCGACGAGGAAGATTCGAGTATAAGCGAATCGATCAGCAGTCAACCGGAGGAAAACGCTCTGAGCAACGGTCTCGAGGATAGCGTGCAAAGTCTCAAGTCCCTGACCAGCGAGCGACGTTGCAATTATTTAAAAAAGAAGGATAAGTTACAGGTGAACGCTAGGGTGGTGTTGAATCGAGCCGATCACAAGAGTAGTAGCTTGTCGAAACGCATCAAGGCGAACGAATCGATCCAAGACTCGGTTATGGTCTCTAGCGACAAAGCCTCGGAGCCGTCGGACGACGAGACAGGGAATATCGCGTTGGTCGGACCGGACTGTCGAGCTAGACGATCGAGTTTGCGTGGCCACGTTAAAAAGGGATGCGCTTGTTGCAACGGCTCGCCGGAGAGACCGAAAAAGAAATCGGTCAAGTCGGATCACTCGAGATTAAAGAAACGATTGTCCTCGAAACAGGCCGGGAAGAAGAGGTAGTCCTAGCGTTCGAACGCTCGACGGATCATCGCGTGTTCTATCGTAATAGTATATGCTCATTCCTGGGATGAAGCGTGTGTGTGTCCAGTGATGAAGGAGTTTCCAGATGAAACCGCGTTACGCATCGAACGAAAACCGAGAATCGCATGGAATTCGCTCGGATCAGACGATCGTCGATAGAAAATACAAGCTTGTACATATATTAGCGAATGCGGGAGTTTAGAAGCGAACTTTCCACGTGATACACCCGTAAAACTCTCGGTATATGCCTATTCCTCGTGTTGTAGGCAACAGGAACGTTCACCGCGTGGCAAATTCTCCATTCGGCGTAAACCACGAAACATCGAGGAAGGAGAACGAACAGTTTACTAACAGTTCTCGACGAGAAAATAGATCATCCCCTTTTACCACTAGATGTTACTACGATACTAGATGTAAGGTGCAAATTATAATGAATGGCAGACTTAGATTAAATCGTTAAGAATATTAGAGACGCAATCTAGTCAAGAGATAAGGTTTTTTGTGGCGAGGAGTAAACGCGTTCGAGAGAGGGAGGGTGCGAGAGAGAGAGAGAGAGAGAGAGAGAGAGAGCAAGGACGAATGAAAAAAGGGGGAAGAGTGAATGAGGAGGCGAAATGTGAAAAGAAGTAATAGAGAGTGGCGTGAATAAGGGAAGAGAGAAAGATAAAGATAAAAATTAGAATGTATCCGATTGTCGATAGATCCCTCGCAGACTAAAGAATTTATAATTAAAAGCCTGAATTTATAATTCTGTCTACTTCTGTATCCATCATGATGATACTATTCCACGTTCTTACACGGTGTGGTCAGACTGAGAAGAAGAAGAAGAAGATGAAGATGAAGAAGAAAGAGAAGATGAAGAAGAAGACGTTTGGTGAATTCTCGTTTGGTAGTAAGCCACGCATTGAACATTTGCCTTTCCGCGTAACGCTTCTCGACAAACTTAGAACCTTAACTTTATAACGGAGACGATCCTTGTAAATTGTGTAGTGTCATACCTTGATGAGAAGGAGTAGTAGGGGAAGACGGATTAAACGGACGAATAAGAAAGAAAGAGAAAAAGAAAAACCAAATAAAGGCGACGAAATTTTAGCAGATATCAGGAAGGAAAGAGAAAAGAAGGGGGTAAAAGGAAACTAGAAAAATATACATATATAACTAAGAAACAACGCTGTGTATTGTACGGGCCGACCATACCCTGTCACGGTGCATGTAAAAAAAAGTACCCAAAAAACTGTACATTACGTAGATAATTCATTAAAAGTATAATATTATATCGCTGCACTTTAGTACAAAATCGCTTCACCTTGTTTCAGAATGACAAGTTTATATCATCTTTCGGTGTGCTGTCGTGACGCGTGAATGCCTGCAACTTATTATAAAACTATAAACAAAGAAGATACTTGTAAAGGTTGTGTAATTAAGCTACTAAAACACTGATCAAATTTGCGTACGTTTCTTTCGCGCCTTCGTGATCATATGGAGTAGTGAACGATTGGAAATTTTCCGTGTAAAAGCTAGAACTCGTTAATCAAGAGTATTAACTTCGTAGTTAAGAAGTATTAACTCTGGCGCAGAAACTAAAGAGTTAAGGATGTTGAAAAGTAATGTTCCTGTGAATAGTCTCCTTTCGTGATACGAACCAAAGTGACTCCGTTTAGAAGCAAAAAACGAATAAAGAGAAAATGAAAAAAAAGAAGAAAGAAGGAAACGACTCGAAAGAGACGAAAGAAACGGTTGAAGGAAGAAAAAACGAGATACGAGAGAAGAAAAGAGAAAAAAATGTTAAATTTATTGTCTTACTTGTAATCGGATATAAATTGTATTAGTTGCTTCGTTATGAACGTATCATTGTAACAGATATCTCCTTCGTTTTTTCCATTCTATCGATGATTAGTAAAACTCTACCTCGTGCACGTGTCGATCATTATTCATAATTCTCATCATGTTTTTAAGCAATTTCTATAACGTAAATGTCGGAGAGCTCGCCCGCTGTAACTCGAACGATTTGCGATAATACCTTTCACCGTACGTTCTTGGAGGAAACCCAGAGTGAAGGGTAATATGGACAATCTGTAATCGCTGTTGCTATAAAAAATTCGAATTTTAGTCAGAGGAAAACTTTGTCCCTCGTCGAGATTTCTCCTTGTACATTTAGCAATAACAAAATGCAAAGAAAATGTTAATCGGAAGCCCGGTATCTTAGACATTAACGTACATTTTACTAAGCGCGGACACATTCCTCGAATTGATCCGCTTTTCTGGGTTTCGTTGCATACCTTCTTCCATTCTAATTGCCCATTTCTACCTACAATCGCCTACTTGTATATAATGTATATTTGAAACTCACGAATGCTCCGAGTCGTTCAACGAATGATTCTGAAAACCTGTCAGCGTTAGTCCGACGAGTTTCCAGCGGTGCGAATCGACGAAAGAGAGAAAGCGAGAGAGAGAGAGAGAGAGAGAGAGAGAGAGAGAATTCAAGTTAATGTATCGTCTAAACGTAAGCTCTTATCTTCCTGTACAGTTTAAAGCGATGTAAGAAACAGATTAAGACACGGAGGAGATGGAATGAAAGCGAAGGTATGAAAAGAAACAGTGAACGATCAGCAAATAAAATATGAACGGATGAAGGCGTTTAAAAAAAGAGATGCATTTCTGTGTGTAGGTGTACATTTTGAAGGAGCTACGCACCAAAATAATACGTATTTTTTGATGGGATAGAAGAAACAAAAAACAAACTTACATGTAGCTTATACGTTAGAGCAAAACGAATGAGCGACAAAAAGCGAGAGGGAGAGAGAGAGAGAGAGAGAGAGAGAGAGGAAAAGAGTGCGTGCGCGTGTGAAAGAGATCGAGCGAATGGAAGAGAATTGTTTGATTGTCAGTGATAGCCTGGCCTTTTTCGCCACCTTTAGTCGTACCAATCGCATTTATAATAGAGGGGTAACTGTAGTCTTCGTAAAAAGAACTCATGAATGGAACACTTAAAGATAAGCGAAGTTTTCCAGCGCCACGAGAGCTTTTCAGATACTTAAAAAAAAAAATAAAGAAAAAAAACAAACAAAAAGGAGGAAGGGAGAGAGAGACAGAAAAAAGACAGAGAAAAGAACAAACTAATGTGGAAGAAAAAAAAAATAAAACCGCTTTACACTGGCCGTTAAGCAATTAACTTAAGAGTTTTTGTATCGTATGTTTGTTAAGACTACTGTTTTTTCTCACTCAAAAACACCCCTTACTACCAGTATTCGAGAGGACGATGTTTGCCGCGTCACTTTTAAAAGGAAAAATTAGTAGGCGATGATTTTAGAGAATGAAAGAGGAGGGAGAAAGAGAGAGAGAGAGAGAGAGAGAGAGAGAGAAAGATTAGGTTGAGAGGGTATGAGAGAAAGAGAGCGAGAGGCAGAGAGAATACGTGTAAACGAAACGGCCGTGCACTGCAAAACGTACATTGATTAAGATGCGTATTGTCGTTTAGCACAAATCTGTTGAAAATCGAGAGATTAAGTAAACGCAAGACGATAAAAATGAAACCGATGATGAGGGACGGGAAGCCAGATAAACCGAGGACGGAGTTGTTTAAAAAACGAAAACAGAAAAAGTAATAGACACCAGTACAGTCATGTCCGAAGAAAAGACAAAAAAGAAAAAAAAAGAAAAGAAACGTGAAGATCTGCTTCTCTGTATATACGTTTAAATGAATGCCGTTAAAAAGAAGAAAAAAAAGAACACGAATGAAGGGAACATTTCTTTTCTAGACATTACCACATTATACATATGTATTGTAATTATATAAAACATTAATAATACATATTTTCGAGATACACGACCAGTCGGAAAATGTTTGTTCGGTGAAGGCCGCGGTTCGATCTAACGCATCATTATATTTGACGTAGAATCGATGTTTACATGTGAATACACGCGCACCGGCATTTATATGTAAATATTTGACGAGCGTTAAGTGAAAAAAAAAAAAGAAAAAAAATCGTGCATAAATTTGCAACTTTCGTAGTTCTCTCCGTGCGGTACAGACTACATATATATTCCTTTGTGACTTCGATGAACGCTAAAGGCCTCATTATTTTCACGCACTCTGACAAACACATGTTTTGGACTGAAACTATCGAATTTAGATTTTTAAGATTGTTCTACTGTAACAAAAATCGGTACAAAGAACCAGCGGGGTGTAGTACAACTTTAAGGATCGAAATTGAAGGGTTTTTGTGAAAAAAAATTACGTGATCGCATGCAGTATTTTATGGGTACTTATAATTTTTTCGGTTGATCCAATTTATTTGAAAGAAATAGTTTCATCGTACCAGTACACATCTCTTTGCGACTAATGTCTTCTTTCTCTAGCTAATTGAATTTTTTACGATGAAAATTTGAGTCGTAAAGAGGTGAAACCAGGACTTACGTTTATATTGAAATACTCGAATATTCGTAACATATGTCAAAATTGACAGTGAAATTATCACACCGCCGCATTCAGCGTATAAATTTTTTATTTCAAATTTTAAACGATTCTCTATACACGTGTTAAAATTATACTTTTCATTTACGTGAAACTTATGTAACTTCGCTATCGATATTGGACACTACGTTTCTCTAAAATCTTAGCGGATAAACAGCTATTTGTTTTTGTTCCTCTAATAGTTATAAAACAACAAGTGCAACAAGAAAAACAGTTATTATCGTATGTTCGCATCCTACGCGATTGAGTTCTTGAAATATCACGATCTTCTAATTCCTACCAATGATTAGATGTAGGAATATCTAAATGGTGTAATAACCCTTGAGAACATCGCAAAATAATGATAAAAAAACATCAAAGGAAAAAGAAAAAAAAGTTGATCACATTTGCAGTTGTTGAAAGCTATCAAATGTTTTTCATGCGCAAATCTATCAAGAAGTGTAAAATCAGAAAAATGAATAAGAATCAGTCAACGTAATTGCTCGATCTCGTTGATTTTTGTCAGATAATAGTGGGGAAAACATGAAAGAAATACTCCGTGGATATGACTGTACAGCGTATTAACTTGTCCGGAACTACATATATCGAGAATCCTCTTTCAAATCGAAGTATAAGGATTGCATATTGTACATAAACAAGACATATTTTCTATATAAGGGACGTCGCTCGGTAAGGCCGATGACTCGAAAAATATTGCAATATTACGATAATTCTTTTAAGCGGTAGGATAGCCTTTAATCGTTTTATGTAATGTAATGATAGAAGAGGGTCTGGCAGAATAAAAGTGAAACTTCTGTATTTAAAAATGTCTTCAAAGTGTATATTTATTCACTTATTATTCATTTATTTGTCTTCTCTTTAGAACGCACGTTAGAATTAAAGGTATTAGAATTGGTGCTTTCATATTCTTTCCGTTGACTTTCCACTTCCTTAAATCAAACAATATTAAATGAATCCCTTATAAATATAATAATATTGAATATATGGTAATGTGATATCAATGAATATAATAACATACTTACTCGTTGAATGATGTCCAATAATGTAGAACTTTCGGTGGATTTAAAAAATTCGTTTATTTCTTGTGGAATACAAAAGTGATTCGGAGCTTTTGGTTGAATACCAATTTCCTCGCCGATAAATCGGAATTCCGGTGTATTTTCTATTATATTCTGCAATTCTTCATATGTAAAAAGAGTTCCTTTTGTAGCAGAGTCATCCAAAGGGCCAAAATCAACTATTTTTACTTTTTCTTTTTTATATCGTATAACATCGAACGAATCTGTATTTCAATACATTATGTATTAAAGTTCTACAGTTCAATTTAGCAAAAATTCGTTCTTAGTTACTTACAATTATCTAATGGAAATCTATCTTTAATACGTTCCATAAATAAGCTCTTGATGTCTGTTTGGATATTATATTTTTCTGATTCGTTGTAACTGTAATACTGTGATATATCTCGTTGGCTAATTGCTAAAGAAATTAATATAAATTATTTATAATTAATTAGTCAAATAGATAAATCACAAATACACTCCGATATAAAGTAACTTAGATTTTCTTGCCTATAAGTTCATTTTCTATTACAAAGCACCGAAATTCTGTGCACGGATTAATATCTCTCCATTGTTTTAATACAAGACAGTATTTCACAGGAGTTTCATGATCCATATAACTTTTTATACTATTTAAATCTTTGGCAATTCTATCTGAACTCTTTAGCAGTAAATATACTTCTTCTAATGTATTACATTTTAGTGTTTTAGTTGGTGCAACCCAAGTTGCATCCTGAAAGTAGATATATGTATGTAGAAAAGTTAACTACTTTTCAAGACAAAACAAAATGTTTATTTACCAAGGGTGAACTCCAATTACTTTTAATAAAAACTGCACCATATTCATCTATAGCATCTTGGATTTTTTGACTGAATTGTGGAAATGTTGGTTGAAAATCAAGCGAATGCTAAAAGAATATAATAATAATTTAATTGCTCTATACATATATATGTAGTATACATATGTTACTCTGAGTTTACCTCTTCATTTACTACTGGAGATCCATCCATCCATTCTGCATTCTGTAACTCAGAATTTGTTGCCTCAACAGGCAAAATAAACGCATCGTGTTCTAAGTACTTAAGTACTTCATCAGGAATGTGTAGAATTGTAGCCCTTAAGGAATCTTTACGAAATTGGGGGTACCATGATGCAAAGGAACATTCAGGTTTTAAACTATTCACCATATTAATCAATATCTAAATTGATCAAAAGATTTGATTGATAAACATGTATTTAAAAATTAAGTTATCAATCTAAATTAAAGTCAAAATTCTTAAGTAATATTGTTTAACATTCTTACTTGATTTTTAAACCTTACATAAATTTAATATAGCTCTTGAAATCTATTAAACATCAATTATTATTGACGAATGAAGAATAATTGAAAATTAATTTAAGTTATCGAAGACAGACGTATTCATTCAGTTACTCTTTTAGTGTAATATCTATATGACGCCAACAGATATAATTAAAACTGTTACTTTTCAATAAAAAAGTTATATGACTGAAATACAAATTTTTATATTTAAAAATTAAGTTTATATTAACTACAACGAACAATTGGATAATGTTTTTGTAAATGAATATGAAATTCAATCGTATGAAATCACTATACACACTAGAATCTAAAATGGCAACTGTACAAAGATAATAAGCGTCAATTTGTTCCATTGCATTCTTCGTTTCTCTAGTAAAGCATATAAATAAAGTATAAAATATATATTTTGGTGTTCAATTGACGCAAATATTTCTGTTAAATAAATAATTTTTAACAAGAATCAACGAACCAACTTACAAAGTCAGTTATCACGATGTAAGAGTGTAAATGTGTAATCCTGAATAATAGTTAACCTTCTGTTAATGACAACGGTTATCAAATTTTATAGAGTTCGTAACGTGAAATAATTTAAAAATGATGAAAAATGGTAGTTTGAGGAAAAATTTCTTAAATGAAATATGTAAGAAATCTCATATGATGTACCACATGTGATCTATTAAATGTGTCAACATAGATATTTTTAATCGTTTAGGATACGCCTCGATTATATAAACATTCCAGTTAAAATACCTATAGTGGACAATATCCTTATACTTCGCTAATAATATGGGTAAGCAATTAAGAAATATAGTAGGAGTCACTTTATTACTTTGTTTAGCAAGGGGTGTATTATATGTATTTATAGATTATAATTGGATCTTTATTTTAAGTGATGGCAGGGAACGAAAGCACTCCTGGATCTTTAGCAGAAGATTCACTATCCACAAGATTGCAATGGCTTCGCCAACGTCGGGAAACATTGCAAGAAAAGCTAGCTCAAAAAAATAATGAACTTAAAAATTTATGCGTTGAGGAAGCAGAACTAACTGGTATTTTACCACCAGAAATTCCATTAGAACCTGGAGAAAGCCCACCAATATTTCGTAAAAGAGTTGGAACTGCATTTACATATCCACAGAATTTAATTAATAAACTGAAAACAAATGAAGTTGTATGTTTCTAAGACATTGCAGATATTAAGTTAATGATTTGAATATACCAAAATAAAATATAAACAATTTCTTTTGTAGGAGGAATCTGCCTTAGAATTGGAACGACAAGTTCAACTTGGTATAGTAGAAGCTGCTTTAGGAATTGTGAATGATCCAACAGAAAGCAAAGCTGTACGCCGTAAACATAGGCTTGTTTACCAACAAAGTCAGCGTAGACTTCAAGAATTAGAAGCCCGTTTAAATTTCATAAGACAAAGTCGTAGTAAAACGCATCATTCGACACAACTTCAACATCCCAATATTTGTAATGCTCAACCACATTTACATGCAAATGTAAAGCATAGGACAAAGAAACCTCGGCCACCACTGGATGGCACTGGTACAATAATATTTATTTTTCATACAATTGATACATTAATAAATTAAATTTATGTAATTTCTTATCTTTTTAAATACATTATTTCGCAGTAAACGACGTGAGTACGAAAGTTACAAGAGGATTGCTTCAAGAGAGTGGTGTAAGCTTAAGTCCGTTAGGATCTGAAGATAAGTGTAATACTTATCCTAGTCACGGATACGACGATCAACCGCTAGTATCTAATACCTGTAATCACAATCATATCGGTGCTTATTGCCCCACAATTTCTGACCAGCGACAAAGTATCAAGATAATAGAGCATGATCATAATGATAATCAGAATGTTTACATACTACCTGATCAATATCGTACGCGAACGTATTCTCATGGCAGCGGTGGTTCGCGTACTCAGAATCACTATCAAGATAGCGAACGAATGTATCGTCCTCTCCCAACTACGTATGCCGAAGATGAAAGACAATTACGATATCGTCAGTTTCAACAACAAGAACCAACCTATAATTATCAACAATACTCTGACTATAAACATTTAGACAATGACGTCCAGCGAAGATCTGGTCAAGAATATTACGAAAGAGACTTCCGTATGTTACATTATACACACATACCGGAATTTCCAATGTATCATAAAAGTAATTCTCAATCACAGTGTTTACTAAGACGAGACCGTGACTCTAATGGAAGTAAAAACTTACGATATACAGATTCGCCGAGTGAAACACAATTACCATCAGGTTACTGGATGCGATACGAAGATGAAATTGTTTGGTGCGCAGATGATCAACCTGTTTCAGATAGATTTGGTAGTCTAGATCGAAGGAAACGTAATGCTGTTCAACACGCTGGTATTATTGGTACTGATATACAACCACGATATCGTACGGTATCTGTAGGATGTAACAAAAATTCTCCTTACATCGCACCTCATCAAAATGCTTCCGTCCATCTGCTTCCTTTGTCTGAACAACCACCAACTACCAATAAAATGTTACTTCGAACGCAATCTTTAGGTAGCGTCGAGAAATGGCATTCGAATCACTTGCATGAATTGCTTGATAGTAAGGATACAACGGATAATGTTAGTCGGAAGGGAAAAGAAAAGGAATGGTATGAAACCTCTTTGGATTCAGGCACAAGTCCAGGATCAGATATCAATTTAATCTCATCGCACAAAAATATTCATTATCAATCTACTTTGCCTGTGTGCTCCAAATCGTCTACCAGTAGCAACGGCGAAGATGGAAAAAGTAATTATATTCCTTCAGTAAATCATCGTAAAACTGATATAATAACGACTGAAAATGACCAGCATTTACAATCATTGTCAGCTCGTTATGAACCAACTCGAAAGAAAGTACTGGAAATTCCAGCCGAGTCAAAATCGCCTCAAGAGGCAAACGAGGAGACCATTATATTAGGATCGTCTCAGAATTGTACGATCGTTCAGGCTGGGAAGTATCAACCATATAGAGAAGTTACAAAACCTTTTGAAATGTCTGATTTCTATAAATATTCCACTAAATTTCGTAAGAGAAATGAAGCAAACGGACAGAATGTTTCAAATGAAACACAAGATGATTCTCGAGCGGCACACTATTCTGGAACAAACGATATATTTGGAGAATCCGAGTCTTCGGATATCACACATAATGGATCAATTGCTAGTTCGGTTCAAAAGAGAATATATCAGCCGGTCCAAAGAATGACGTGTCAGCCTTATCTCACGTCATTAAGATAATTTTTGAGTACGTACAGATTAGAAATAATCTAAAAGAATGGCATGAGGCAGATGAGATAGGCTGGACCTGTCTGAACAAATATTCGTAACTCGTTTTGAATTTATAACAAATTTAAATATTACCTGAAACAATTTTTACTGCAAAGTGGCAACTACGGTCCGAGAAATTTAAAAATTACAAATTAATTAATTTAATTAATTTAGTTTTGGACACATACTGTTTTGCGATCAGAGGAATTCTGATTTCTGAGCGAGTAGCAGTTGAATATGGATAACAAATCGATTGCGTTAAAATTGTCATGGAGACCTGAAAAGTGCCTTATATTGATTGAAATCATTATCAAAATTATATGAACAAAAATTCAATTTATAATGAATCGATACATTAAAAGATAAGTGTATAAAAGCTGAGCTAGTATGAGTATCAGAAAGTGATCACGTTTTATTTAACTAGCTCCTTCGATTCGTAATATAGAATACGAATAAATATTTTTATAGTTGATTTTTTAAAATACTAACGAAATACATTTAAAAATTACTTTTGAGATAAGAATTAAAAGTACATTTAGAACGGAATTAAAAAGAATAGGACTGCTAAAATCGTAAGTGTTGAAAAACAAAACATAATGAATTAAGTCTTAATGATAAGTAGTAATTTTTTAAATTATATATTTCAATATTTTAATTATACATCCGTAAAGATAGTTTCTTTAATAAGCGCTTGCACAATTTAAAACAGTAAAACATAAGAGTATGTTAAATTCCACTACTTTAAACGCCTTCGGCTTTCAAAGCCAAAGACTGGAATGATATTTTGCGATTCTTTCGTATTTATTTCAATGGAACATGTAAGTATATCGAACTGTATTTAGTTTCGTCATTTATTCGTAATACACTTTATTTAATTTCGCTACTTTCATTTTTTACTGAACTATTTCAACTTAAAAATTTATCATCAAAACTAGGTCATCTTGATAATTTTGGGAAATTGTTGGGTAAGATATACCAAAATCCTACAACAAATACCCTTTGGAGGTGTCGATTCTTTAAGAATTCAGATTGCCCCAAAATAAAGAAGTGGTTTCTTTTAATGTTAAGTTAGTTTGAATGGTCAGGAAGTTGGAAATGTAAGGCAATTTGGTTTAGTTTTCTTGCAAGATTTCAACTCAGGTGAAGAAGAATTGGATCCTCCTTCTCCGGTTGGACCTAGCATTAAGGCTGAGATAAAAAGAGCTATTTCCAGAACCATCATTGTCTTTAAGAATAGACAACTCCCCATTTCATTATTGGGGGTCAAGTAATAAATTGTTTAGATTTTATTCTCATTATTCATTACATATATTGTCTAAGATGTCATGATGATATATTTGTTAAGAATAAATAAATAATTGGTTGATTTTGATTTTATCTTTAATGTTCTTTAATGTATTCATTACTATGAAAGAAATAAGCATTACATTTTTGTATAAAAAAAATTATATATTTCTTCAAAGCAACGATACTTTTTCTAAGAAAAGAATATCTGTAAAAAAATAAATTTAGGAATTTTAGCCTCTATACATAGATTCACCATAAGTTAGTTTGCAATTTACGTACAGATCTCTAAGTTGCAATTTATATTATTTACTTGTTTCAATAACCCTACTGATAAATATTTAAAACAATGGTATATCTAATAGCTTGAAAACCCTAGTAAATATCAATTTTTCAAATGCTGTACTGAATTTCTCATGTAAAGAGCAATAAAAATTAACTTGAAGGTGTTCAATTTTGTTCTTAAAACCACTGTTTAACGCGCTGATCTCTATAACAAGAGACTAATATAAAACACTACATCTAGTGTTTTATATTACAATAGGAGATCCTTAATTTGGGGAAAGATTAAAATTTGAAAGACGGTGCACCGACGAATTAGATAAGATGAAAACTTGTATTGTTTTCTTCAATCAGTATGTCTATATTCAATGGATTTAAAAAGGAATTTTTTTTTTAAACGAAAAAATACTTCGAAGAGCATAAGATGCGACGAAACGAAAATGAAAGTTTAAATTATGTAGTAATTCAAATCTCATCTAATAAATTCGTCGATATGATAGGAAGTAAAAGACAATGTCGATTACACCTAAAAATGCATGTTATGTGGGTACTTATTGTTAGTACCGATTAAGTAACTTGATCTTAAAAGTTTATCATATACTATCATGCAAACCATATAAAAATTCTAATTTCATACACTCGTATAGTGCAATTGTAAATGTACATACGTGACTTATTTCGTGAATAAAGTATTGTTTTTTATTTTACAACTGCACTTTACAAAATAAATTAATATTGAATTTACAATCAGATTCATTGGCACTCATATACTTTTCTTTTTACATAGTATTAAATGAGACATACATTTTTGAAAGAAATACAAATTATAATCTATAAATGATTGAATATCCAGTATTGATAAATAGTATTATAGTTATTCTTATTGTTAACGCATGAGCATACATTTTTCACAAAAGTAACTTAATGCTTTAATTATAATAGAATATATTAATATATTAACAAGATAGTAAAATGAATCATAGCTAAATGACAAGTAAAACAAAAATCTGAAACAAATACTTAGTATATAGAAAATAATGGATATAATATTCTGATATCTTTATAAGTAGCGTTAACAATAACAATATACATTTAATTACAACAATTCACTATAAAATTAACAATGTAGAAATTCTATAGAAAATATAAACAATTTGCATTTGGTGGAAAGATTCTACGGGAAAGCTGCAAATGGTATTAAAGTATATTGACGAAAAATGTACTTTTCTTATTCATAAAAGGCAACATTGAGGACATATGAATTTCGTAAAAAAACATATCTTATGACTACGAGTAACCAATAAAAAAGAATTTATACTCGCAAAATGTTTCGAAACAATTTAATAATGCAATACTGATTCAGAGCAATTCTTTGAATACATTAAAAAATCATTTTCATAAAGTAGCCCTATCAAAAAAATTGATACCATATTCTTTGGCTTTTATTTTCAGTTATAAAGCTCCGATTGCCTTCATTCATCAGTACAGATAATCATTTACCTTTTCAAATAATATGGTTGATCTAATTTGAATTCAATTTTCATTTATAAAATAATTTTTATTTGTTATTTTTTTCTAAATCTGGAAACTGTTTGTGCATACTCGCCAGAACTGTTGTTTTTTCAATTATATTAGGCAGTACACACTTTCACCAAATTTTTCATACTATCGCACAGACATACACTTATTACATGGTACACTCGCTTTGCGCAATTTATCACGGTTATCTTAAAACTATCAATTAAAAACTAACACTATACAGTTCAATAATTTAAGGAAATTTGTTAAATGTTCGCAGAGCATAACAGGAGGTAGGACGAAACTTGTTACTTGTATCTTCGACACGAATGATCGATAATCAAATAGATGTTACATACTGATTATTAACAAACAACAGATTATTTATATATTTTATTCTCTTTAACTTCTGAACCAAAATTTTAGACCCTATAAATTCTTTTTTCTCAAAGTCAAAGACAACAAATGAATATAATAAGTAATTAAACTTGGATTTCTTGCTCACAAAATAAGTACCCAATTAAAATTAATACTAGAATACTAATATATGTTCTAAAAAAATATTTTTTTATTTTATTCAAGGAGTTCTTAATCCATCATTAAGTTTCAAGCCAACAATTAGTGAAAATAGAAATAATAATTATGGAACTACTTTCATTTAAAATTTGTCTCCAAGAAGAAAAGTTGATTTCGTAAATAAAGCTTTTTCAAATATGTAAATTAATTTTGATCGTACAACATATTAGCTATTTAATGTTCACTAAAAACGGAATATTTTAGGCCCGAGTTAGATGAGAATAGAAACAAAACTTTTGGCAAAACCGCTGGGCAAAAGATTATCGTAAATGTATCGATATATATTATATTAATCGAATTAATTTGGACCACTGATGTAAGATTTGATGCATATTTCTTATGATTGAGTATTAGTTGTAACAATGTTGGTCAGGGACACACAAACAAAAGTTATTATAAAGTGACTATGTAGCATTTAAAAACTTGCCATTGTACACGCGACTGCAACCTCCTCGTTAGTATTTCTGTTATTGTTATTACCAACCTGATATTATTCACATATTCTTCATGTAAATATCACCAAGTAAAGCACATAAATCTTTTATTAACGTAGCCAAGACATCTTTGAACCATTCAAACAATTCATAAACTACTTGTTTATCAGCCAGTGAAACTACATACAAGTGGTGGATGAGATAGATGATATAGTTAACAGCAACAGCAGCAAAGATTACTGAATTAATACAACGAATCAATATAAGCTTCAGACCATTCAGATTCTTCTGAATCAGAAAGAAAGGAAGCAATTTCTTCAACATCTATATCATAGATCCAACGGTGCTCTCTCTCTTCAAAAAAGTCCCACAAAATTAGTTCCTGTAAAAAATGTTTACATTTCTGTACATATCTAATAAGAACAAAATTAGCAATTAAAAGTTTAAAAAATCACACGATATCGAGAGAAGTTAGAGGTGCAAATATCTGTAAAATTTTAAACTAACACGCAAAATATCGACCTCTGCATCTGAATTACGTCGTTGACGAACAGGTGGACCAACATCTGTTTTAGTACCATCTGGAAGTGCATGTAGATAAAAGCATTTATTGCCAAATGGACATTCACCGCGTCCTTTATTGAAGTACTTGCAATCTTTAGTGCTGTAATAAATAAACAACATAATGTAACTAAACGCTATACCTGTATATATAAATTTCCTTACCTTAATGCACGTTTGTAGTCCTTTATTAATTTTTGTTTTTCTTCCTTTGTATCTACCCAGTACATACTTGGACATACAAAGTCAGAGGAAACGCGACATTCTGGACAGGATCTTATAATTTTATTGTCAAACTGTTTAGCTTGTCTCCATTTTCTAATACAACTTAAACAAAAACAGTGATTACAATTTGGTAAAATACCAAATCTTTGTTCTCCAAATGCCTTTTCCATTATAACTTCAAAGCAAACACCACAAGATTTCTCTCTACTACGTTGAATGGCAAAAGAGAGTTCCATATCAACTTCATGCTGCTTAACACATGCCTAAAACATCAACATTGATGGTGAAATGAAATTTTAATCCACATTATGAACTTATTTGAGCAATATAATTTACATAGTTACATTTTTATGTTTTTTTCGAAGTTCTTCATTATGTGGGTGAAGTGCAGGACGATTGCAGAAATCACAAATATCTCCATGTATATATGGACAATTTCGTTTCCTGCAAATTCCAGCTGCTAATGCGTATGGACATAAAGGTTCTAAAGATGGACTTGATGCTTGGCCAGATGGATTTAAAGCTTGAGCATAAGATATTGGCAACAGAGAACTTGTCGATGTTCCTAAGGTGGTAGAAGCTGTATTTGCAGAAGATGATCCAGCTACATCTGAAGGTATAAATTCTGGTGCCTTTACCCATTCTTCAGCGATACGAGCACTTTGCCACATATTTTTATATACCATATTACAATGTATTATGTGATATGCAAATGGTATTACGACTTAAATCTTGCTGAACTATAATGTCATCTGACGACAACATACACATTCTTTATTGTTGTCGAAGTTGAGGTATTTGAAGTGTGTTGCCCAGATGAAGAACTTTCTACCGAATTTGCATTCACCACATTATTATCGACACTTTCAGAGCTATGACGAAAATGGCACTGGTTTCCAAATTTACAGATACCATGTTTAGAAAAGCGACAGACACTGTTAATAGATGGGGTTGAAGATACTATTGTTTCATTATTTTCATCATTTCTAACTCCTTGAATATGGCCATATCTGCAGTTATTTCCTTCACGGCACATACTATTTTTAAAATAACTATAATAAAAGAAATTAAAACATGGTTAATAAAGTATTATAAAATGTGTATTTCTATATGCAAATGCAATAGACAATTATAAATATTACCACTAATTATAAGTATAAATGCATATTTCTATCATGTTCATTATACATGTGTTATCTACATAAAACAAAATAGTAAATAAAGTTTTTATAATACGATATTCTTTTCTCTACAATCAATGATGTTAATGTGTTGAAAAACATAAAATTAACAGATAAAATATAAATGTGTAAAAAAAACAACAAACACAAGAAACCTAAATAATATTAGTTTTTTTAGAGTTTAATTTTTTGACATGTTACAAAATATTCTTGTGTGTACAGCGATATACATTTCTACTTTATTACTGCCGTATTATCAACAAAATACGCTTGAAATTGATAATGGGGAAATTTGTTACCGGCAAACAACGCTCTGTGTCCAACTGTCGGCCATTTTCTAAAGCTTCCACTTTAACAATAATCGAAAACGCGTTCTCGAAGGTTCGCGTAAAATCTTTTTGACAATGCCAATATGAAATGCAATACGAATTTATCGAAATAAACGTGCACTATAGGTAGCACAATATTTCATGCTCAATCGCTGATTTAATTTAACAAATATCTTTTCACAGGTTCTTCCAAAATAGTAAAAATATACTTCTTGCACACTGACTTCCTTTTTTTCTTCCCTTTCCTCTCTATCCCTTTTTTGTCGTTGCTTTACGTTTCTTTTCTTTTATTCTGATTTTTAAATTCGTATATATGTACTCCCTGTTTTTATGCACTATCGACAAATATTTAACGTGCTTATAACTCATCAACTTTACGCGTAAGAACACATACATACATATACGTCACGACTAAACTAACAACAGGCAAATTCACATTTGACAGTTACGTCAGAGCATGCGCTCAAAAGATTACCTGTTCAAAAGTGATTTGCAAGATTAACAAGTTCACTACATATCATTTTTCAATATGAATTAGAAATTATAAAAATAAAATGAATTATAAAATAGCCGAAATTAAGAGAAACATTACGCGGGTTCCTGTACTTTTATTAAAACAAAAATTTATATATTCGATTCGCGTTGCGTTGCTAGACTTTTCTGCTGTAAGTTTTAATTATGATTACAACAATCCGTTAATTATTTACTATAAAAATTTAATTTAATGTGCAGTTTCCTTCTTAACAAACATAAAAATATTTGTTTATTTTTAACGCGGTACGTAGAATAAAACAATATTTGTAGTAAATTTTCAACAAACTTCACTTTTACATTTAATTGTTAAAAAACAGAACATAATAGACGTCTAATCATATCTTAATTTAAATAGTTGAGATGTTAATACAATGTTTTACAATTACTTTACAATATTTTTGTAAAACGTTTAAAACTAGTAAAGAACAAAACAATATTCATAGCATAATTATGAGGACGCGGCTTTATTTGGTTTGGCTAAATAAAATTATGATCATATGTTGGTAGTGTACATGGATTACCGCCACGGCTGTAGTGTTTCGACAATGAATAAGGATTTATATTTTTAATTAAAATTGTGAAACGAAGTGCTATTTAGCATTGATAATAGAAAGGTGATATTTATTTTTTAACACCTGCGAATCTAAAATTATCGCCTGTTTTCAAATATAATCTTATGATTTTAACCAATATAAAATTATAAATTAGGCACAATATTTCAGTTTGAAATAACAAAATGCAATTCTTACTTTTGCCTTTATTTGCAAGATACTACCATTAGTTGTTATAAAATATAAATGTAGTCTTTCTTGTCTACTTTTATTTATGTTTTGCTTTTACTGTCAGATTTGATTAAATCGCAAGTGTAAAATACAATATGGCGAAGAGAAGCTACTTTTAACGATAACCTCAACTTTTTGTATAATGGTTTATTATGCTAGTACAAAGAAATGTGATATCAATTGTTTTTGAAAAACGTTTCATTGTTTCTCCTTGTTACTTAGTAGTTTCATTTTAACTGTAATCAATTTATCACATTTATTTCATTATATTTCTGTCATTCTGTGTATTAATATTTGTTTATATAATTCAAAATGAATTTATGCTTTTTACACATGTTAAATGAATGATAAATTTAACACATCATAATATTTTATTTATAATGCTCCTTATATTTTACAGTATTTATTAAAAATTATCATTTCAGATACTTAAATATATGAATTAGTATGGATTCTAATAGTGATATGGAGTTATCAATTAATCAGACTCAGAAGGATTCACATATAGAAAATGAAAATAAAGCTGAAGACACAACTGATTCAAACAAAAAAACAAATGTTTGTACAGATGAAATACAAGAATCATTAATTCTCAAAGGAGATGAAGAAATTGCTAATGTAAGTCAAGCTAATGAGAAAACAGATGGTATAGAAGATGAAGTGCAAGAAAAATTATCTGATGAAAATTCAAAAAGTATTAAAGTATCAAATACTGAATTGTGTCAAGAAAATGTTTCAGAAGAAGGTAACTTACAAGTGAACAAATTAAGCTTACAAGAAAGTAACATAAATGTAACAGTTACAGACTGCAATGATGTACAGTCAACTTTATATGAAAGTACTACAAAAACTGTTTCACAGGAAGAAAGTTCAGGAACATCAATAATATCCAACACCATAGACAAAGATGACACAGACAATTTACCAGATAGAACAGATACAATAGAACATGCAGAAGCTCAGAAATGTTTAGTGGATACTCCAGAGGAAACTGAAATTTTAGAAAGTGACAATGCTGAAGATACATGCAGTTTAAACTTAACAGAAAAAGAAATTGATGACAATGTTTTAGAAGATTCACAAACAAATAAGTTATTTCTTAATGAAAAAGATAATACAGATAATAAAAAGACTGATTCAAAAGGAACATTAGAAGATTGTGATAGAGATGTGGCAGAAAAAAATATTATAGAACCAGAAAATACAGAATTTGTACAGTTTTCTCAGGAAAAACATGGAGATGCACAAATGGAAAATCAATCTATAGATGCAGAAGATCCTTTTGGTGGAGATAATCTTACTGTTGAAAGTATAGAACCAATGGACACTGATGATCTGAATGAAACTGATATAAGTTTTTCTAAATTATGCAACCAAGCTGATGATTTACAAGATATTGTAAATAACAGGGAAAGCGATTTTAATAATGATAAGCCAGATGAAAATGAAGGAAACAAAAATATTCCTATTGATGTTTTACATTCTCCAGATACAATACAAAACACTGATAAGAATAGTAATGAAAATTCAGTTGATGCAGAACATAATGAAAATTTGAACACAGAAGATGTTACTTCAACTGAGAAATGTGATGCACAAAAAAAGAAAACTGTCAGTGACATGACATCAATGGATACTGAAGAAGAACAATCTAATGTTTTACCAGGACAAGATGATGAGTTATGTATTATTCCAGATAGTATGAAAGTAATAATTCCTGGACAAACGGAAAAATCAAACTCTAATAACAAAGAATCTCTACATGAAAGTAGTCATGAACACAGTGAAGTTCAAGAAACTTGTTCGAATAATGAACCAAAGACTGATGCAAATGAAAGTTTGCAGCAAACTTTAAAAGAATCAAATACTCTAAATGAAAATAGTGTAGCAGAAGCAGAAGCAGAAGATGTTCAAGCAGAGAAAGATTCAACTAGTACAGTTACAACTACCACTGCAGATGTTATTAACATTGACGAAGAGTCAAAAAATTCTGAAATTGAAGAAATCACAACAAAAGAAATTTGCAAACAGTGTAATGAAGAGAAATCATGTAAGATTAAAGTAAAAATTGGTTTTGATGCATACAATGTGTGTTCAAAAACTTGTAAGGCATTATTCAAAGTTGCTAATAATAGGGCTATGGATATACCCAGTGATGGAGTCAATTCTAAGAGAGAGAAACGTTGTGCAAACTGTTTACTGATTGTTGAACCTAATGATGAACGTAATCTTTCTTGGGAAACAATGGAATTCTGTAATGAGGAATGTTTAGGTAAATTTCAAACAAAATATGGAAGTTATTGTAGAAACTGCAATGGTTCAGTACAGGCAGTAAGTTTAGGAAAATACTGTGTGCGATTTGGCTATGATGTTAGACAGTTTTGTTGCTCTACATGTTTAGAGGAGTTCAAAAAAGGCTTAAAGGTGTGTAGTTATTGTCTAAAAGATATAAGTTCCAGTACAGAAGGATTTCTTGCACCAGTTGGTGATAAAGGACAATTTAAAGATTTTTGTACTCAAGATTGTATGGAAAAATATTCAAAAATGAGTTCTGTTGAACCCCCAAATATGGAAACAAAATGTTGCAGTGTTTGCCAAGAAGTAAGAAAGCATTTTCTTCCTTTATACCTACATTTTCAACATAAAATATAAAAGTTTTCTAAATTAACATTATGTCCTTTACAACAGGAAAAAGTTGTTCATTGTGAAGTACAAATAGACAGATCTGATCCAGTAGCTATTTGCAGTGAACCATGTTTTGCAGCATTTAAATTTGTGAAAAAGGTTGATCCTGATCAGTGTTCTACTTGCAAAAAATTTTTTGAATTACCTAACAAAAAAAGTTCTGTTGTATTTTACGAGAACGAGGCTCATATGTTTTGCTCGAAAACTTGCTTAAACATATTTATTATTACCAATAGGAAAATTGTTCCTTGTAACTGGTGCAAAGTAAAAAAATATAATTTTGACATGATTAAAAAGGAATTAAAAACAGGTCAAGTGATGATGATGTGCAGTTTAAATTGTTTAACGTTGTATCAGGTAATGAGCGATTACATATTTTTTCTGCGAAAAAATTTGATAAATGAAACTGATTTTCATTTTATTTTCCATATAGGTTTCTATTAACGCAGTTTCAGCGAAACGAATAAATTGTGACTTCTGCAGGGAATTCTCTCAAGCACAGTATCATTTAACAATGTCAGATGCAACAATACGAAACTTTTGTTCATATCATTGTGTAATGAACTTCCAAGCTCAGTATACGAAATCTCCTATTACAATACCGACGGGGGACGATCCTGTGCCTACTGGTATGCCTAAAAGAACATTACCGCAGAGAAACGCAAATTCGAACAATCAGAAGGCTAGTGATATACAAAACAAAAAGAACATGCCTGTAATTTCTTCTGTGACAAGTTTAGCCGCAATAAGAAATGGACAATCCAGTCCAACGACGCAACAGAACAATGTAAATAACATGGTAGTACCTTCAGTTGCTATCAGTCAAAATCAGACACCACAAGTAATTTATAAGCAACACGTTATAACGAGACCGCCAAGTCCAGTCCAAATTCACAATAAAACAACTCAATGTAAACCTGTGATGCACACGAAAGGAGTTTCAGTACGTCCACATCCTTGTACAAAAGCTACGCAAACAGACGGAGTTCAACAAGCAGTTGTACCGATACCAGTTCCAATTTATGTTCCATTTCCAGTACACATGTATTCCATGCCTTTCCCAGTTCCAGTACCTTTTCCATTACCAATTCCTGTACCTATTTTTATACCTACAACAAGAAATAGTGCTAAGGGAATATTTAAAGAGATTAAAAGAATACAGGAAAAAATACCAGCAGATCCTTTCGAAGCTGAACTTCTAATGATGGCAGAAATGGTTGCAACGGAGAAAAAAACTAACGAGACTGATTCGGATTCAGCAGATGATAGGTAAATTTATTGTTAGTAATTTTTAGTAAATTCTTTCTGTTTTCTTTCCTTTTTCCTATTTTTCGTTTTCGTACAGAGATGAAGATACTGGCGATCGTGATCATTCACACAGTGGAGATTTCAGTCCAGAAGGAGTTGATTCTAGTAATACATTTGGCGATGACATGTTACAAATGGCTTTAAAAATGGCAACTGGAGAATTGGACGAGCCAGCTGTTGATTTAGAAGCTGCTTTAACTCCAAACACAATCACTGCTACGCAAGCACCAGCGCAACCAGATACAACTATGGAAAGCGATGGTAGCAAAAGTATTTTTGTACATGTAGAAAGTAAAGATGTAAATTTAAATAGGAATTAACGATTCAGTTTTTACCTACAATTTAGTTCAATCGGAGCGATTAATCGTTTCCTCTCGGGGAAGAAAGCGAATGGTCCCATATAAGCCACGATCTACTCCAAATAAGCGAGGAAGACGTGTATCTGGCACAAACGATATGCCTTTGATGCCACCTCCTGAACCCCAGCCTCCGCCTCAACCGAGAATTATAGAACCCATAGAAAAACCAGATGCTAATATGGCACTCAAGTATACTTTCGGTGTTAACGCATGGAGACAATGGGTAAATGAAATATATTATAATTTCAATTTTAATCGAAAACTGAGATTAGGAATGATCCATTGTTTAAAAACAGGTAGTTGCAAAAAATGCTGAATTAGAAAAACAAAGTACACCATTGAGAAAAATGAAATTATTTAAAACAGATCTTTTGCAACTCACAGCAGATGAATTAAATTATTCATTATGCCTCTTTGTGAAAGAAGTTAGAAAACCAAATGGAGCAGAATATGCTCCTGACACGATATATTATCTCTGTTTAGGTAAATGTATCACTCACTTCCATTAATTGAAGAATGCTTTTAGTTACTTACAATAGCTTCATGTTACAGGAATACAGCAGTATTTATTTGAAAATAATAGAATAGATAACATTTTCACGGATTCATATTACGAAAGATTTACAGACTGTTTAAACGAAGTTGCAAAGAAATTTTCTGTTCTTTATAATGATGCACGTAAGTTAATTTGTACTTTCGAAATTGATGTACAATTACTTATGTAATAAATAAAATACTCATTTCTCGTAGAATATATTGTTACAAGGGTCGAAGAAGAACATTTATGGGAATGTAAGCAGTTAGGTGCTCATTCTCCTCATGTCCTTTTAAGCACTCTAATGTTTTTTAATACCAAGCACTTTAATCTTGTAGTATGTATAAATTATTGTGATTTATTATATACATGTTAATATGAATATATTAAAAGGATCAAAATTTAACATAAATATGAATGAATATCGTTTAGACAGTAGAAGAGCACATGCAGCTATCATTTTCTCATATCATGAAGCATTGGAAACGTAATCCTGCTGCACAACCTACTGCAACAACAGGGAAAGTTCCAGGTTCTAGAAATGTTCTTCTTCGTTTTTATCCACCACAATCAGCATTGGGTTAGTATCAAGTAATTTGTATACTAAAAGAAATAAAATTATAAATTTTCAACTTCTTTTCAGAAGGCAATTCACGTAAAAAGAAGGTATATGAGCAGCAAGAAAATGAGGAAAATCCATTAAGGTGTCCAGTTAAATTATACGAGTTTTATTTGTCTAAATGGTACATTTACTTTTTTAATAGGAAAAAACTAAATACACATACTATACGAATAAAAAGTATAATTGATTCAGTTGTACTACCATTTTTAGCCCAGAAAGTGTCAAGACTCGAAATGATGTGTTCTATTTACTACCTGAAAGAAGTTGTGTGCCAGATAGTCCAGTATGGTATTCAACATCACCACTGGCTAAGGAACATCTCATAAAAATGTTATATCGTATTAAAATGGTTAAAGAAATTAATGTGGCATTATTAACTAGTTAATTTTACGTTCGCATATTTATCTTCTCCCCGTTAATTCGGATAACGTAATATAAAGAAAAAAAAGATAATTGTTCCCTTATACATCAGATAAGAATGTTCGAAGAATGATCTGTAGTCACTGAAATTTTATAATTTCTATTGTATATTTTTCACTTCCTAATAAAACAAAAGAACTTATTATTGAAAATTTTTTAACTACATCTTTTATGTGCAATAAAATTAATCTGCAGTCAGCAACATATCGAATTGAAGGCGTTATTGCAACCAAAATATGGTATATACGTACTTAACTTACATATTTATATCTAATTTTTTTTTTCTCTTTTCTTTCAAGTAATTAGTGGAAGTTACATAAAAATAATATATATAAATCAGAATTTTTTTTATGACGTAAAACTAGAAAATGTGAATATTTATTTGTAACTTATACAAGAGGTTTATCTTTATCTTTTTTCTGTCGATCTAGTATATTCTTGCGTGTTAATAAGTTTTTCTGTACTTCCAAATGACGAAGTTCCGTGTATACATCTGCAAATATTTCAACTTGTTCTTCTTCTGGAATAGTTTCCCTAATAAAGCATTAAAAATATATATTTAAATGCATTTGCTTCAGAGTAATAAATGTAAAACTTCTGTAGTTATAATATTGCTGAATTTTACCTATAGGTTTTCATTAAATCATATTTTTCCCATGGTTTAGCAACAGCTGCTGCTTTCCTTTGACGCTTTCGACTAACAACTAAATCTTTAATTCCTTTTAAATTTTTACGTTCCCATTTTTCCAACCATGGTGGCGAATTAAGTGGGACTTTCATTTCATTCAGGAGAACAAATCCTGCAGGTTTTAAATCTGCTTCCATATCAGAAGGAAAGGTACTATATTCTAATGGTGCATCTCTAAGATAAAGTAATTCATTATCTAATCTTTTTTCTAACCTGTAAGTAAAAGAAAGTTTAAGTATTCATATATATTTTATTTATCCTAAACGGTATTTGACCTTAATTAATTTGTATTTACCTCAAACAATCAATTTTTTGAATGGTAGGATCATATAAATTATAGTTTATTTCTATACTTTCTCCATTTATAACATTTCTTAAAATAAATGAAGTACGTAATCCAGAACCCTCTCTTAATATGCATATGCCAACAAATTTATTTATTTTTCCTGGTGCATGTTGATCAGAATGCGTTACTGCTAATATAGAGCCAACATAAAATTCAGGAATATTTAATACTGCCCTTCTAGCCAACATATCCATTCGTTCTAATTTTTCTCTCAAAGAGTTACGATATATTGGATTCGGATCTGGTAAAAATTCAGGGTAAATAAATCTATAATTTGCATAAGGTGATGACTCTTTATCGGTTTGTTTTTGAAGATCGTCATTTTCGTTCAATGGTTCAGGTTTGGTTTGTGCCGAAGTTGAAAGCAGTTTTGCTTCCTTGCCTAGAAAGGATAATGTAACATCTACATAAACTAAAATAAAGAATATTAGTTTTAATACTCATGCATAAATTGTAATGCGAATGGTAATGAATCATTTCTTACATTAATAATTAATAAACAATGCGCTGTTTAAACTACTTGTACAATAAAGTATTAAATATAAAATTCTACATATATTAATTACATAAAGCAGTATATCAAAATAAATAACAATATAACATACCCAATATTTTGACAAGACTTAATTTTTGCCATATCTTATGAGATAAAAATTTTCTGGAAACAATCATATTTCAATAATAACTTTAATTTGTTTTCTTACATTCATACACTATTTTAGGTTATTTTGTAGTTAAAATTTTTTCCGATAGATAACAGTACTTTGGTATTTAAGGTACAATGCATAAAAAGCGATGTTTCCAATACAATACAGATTGACCCTTAAGAAATATACATTAAGTGGCACGTGGTCTATTAAGTGAAAACGTTCCTATTACATTATAAATTGTAATTATTTACTTTTCCATTTAGAGTATTTAAAAATGTTACTGTTGAAAATAATCAGGCTTAGGCTACAACCACAATAAATCGTATATTTTACTCCGGTAAATTATATTTATTGCATGGTCGTACACTTTGACAGTTATAATTGTTTATTGCAAAATTTTACACAATTTTAATATTTTATAAATATTAATTTATAAAAATTCAATGTTTTAGGTACGTTAACAATGATGCCAGAATATGTCTGAAATGAAGATTAGTATGAATTAAGAAATCATATTGTAAAATGTGAAATCACTAAAATTTTAGCCTGTCAAATATTTTAAAGGTAAAACTATTAAAACTTTCTTTGATTTTAACTTACGTATAACTTGTAGAATACAAATTGGCCATAATCTAAGTTCAAAATTTATTTTTAGGTCTATTAAAGTATAATCTTTTTATTGACTTACCTCTTTGTAATGAAAAAAAAAGAGCTAAATATATGAAATCATGTGTACTAAATTGAATTTGAAGCAATGACAACAAGCAATTAAATTCTTTTCTACCTAATTGAAGAGTTGTAATTAAAATTTTTTAATTAATATTTTCTAATATGATAGAATCTATAACATTGGAACTAAGACCCAGACTTCAAGTATGCAATGCTTTTATTCATTTAAATAAAAAAGTAAATTCAACAAGGATTGAAATAAAACTATCAGAAGAAAGTATAACAATAACAGTAGAAAATAATACAGTAAACTTTTTAACAAAATGTGTTAAATTAATACCAAATTCGTTATCAACGTTAAATATACTAAATAATTGGATTTGTTTTCGTGCTCAAACAAAGTCTGATTCTATTTTTGGGTCTTTTAAGACTCAAATAATCACTAGTTCAACATTAAGTATTAACTCTTTAAACAATACTTCAAAAAATACTCCAAAAAATATTGAATTATTCAATGTAGATAAATGCAATATCATGTGCACTTGTTGTAAAAATATTCTCTCTAAGACAATGTGTATCAAAAGGGTATTACCCATACCAGACATGTATTATGATCCAAGTGAATGGTTTTGCTGTAAACATAATCATGACAACAGTATCCAAAATTTAATTCCATCAGAATCTGATATTTTTTATGGACAACTTTTCTTCATCATTCATAAAAGTTTGTTTAATCATAACTTAAAAATAGATGAAGATGTTATAGTTTGTAACAGATGTTTACAATATTTGGGAAAAATTCATACAAATAGTTCACTTAAATTATGGAGTTGTACTGTGGACTATAATTTATTAAATAGCTCAAAAATAAAGAATGCAACAGATCCCTTTAATGATTTTTTAATAGCTATTAAAACTTCAATGACTGGCATGAATGGTGAAGAAATAGTTTTGCAATCTTTTGTAGGAAAAGACACTCACTCTCTCATTTTGAAACCAATGGATTGGCATTTAAATTTAATGACTGAACCTAAAATAATTTTACATGACAATGTTATAACTTTACAAAGAGTATCAGTTGTTAAAGTATTATATAAGTATGAAACAACTAAAAATATGACTGATTCTGTAAATAAAACCTATTGTGAAGTAAGCTTTTTAGTAATAAGAACAGGTCTAGAACATTTGTTAATGTCAACAAAACGATTTCCACAGCTTCATAGAGCTGCATCTGATTTTTATATTGGACACATATGTTTAGAAGATCCTGTAAATGAAACATAATTATACTTTTTTTGTATTTTCAGGATATTGGAAATTCTGATTTTTGCATAAAAAGTTTTCACTTTTGAGTACAAATAAGAATTTCATAATAACTGTAATTTATATTGAGAATGTATATATTGTTTTAATGCATGAATAAAGTTTTATTTTATCAAAAATTTACATATTTATTTATATATTACATATATTGTAAATAGGAATATTTTACAATGTTGATTTATTTACTGCTGTCTATGTTAATAAAATTTAAGTAAAGAATTATAAATCACGATTTCATCTGTTTTAATATAAATACATTGAATATTATTAAATGTAACTAATGTCGTTTAGATATTTTAATACTTTATGTTTAACCGAGCAATAACGAAAAATCTTATACATAAAAAACTGCAGGAAATATTTATATGTATTTACATTATGTAAATGCTGTTTGTTATATCCAATGAAAGTTAAGAAAAAACGGTTATGTACACATATGTAATGTACATAGTATATATTATTTTTACAATTATGAATACAATTGTCCGTTTTTCAGATTTGTTAGTTAAGTTATTCGAAAAATTAATTAGAAATAATTATTTAAAAATATTTGAAAATAAATATTCAATAACGTATATAATTATTGTGGAATGAACTCACAATTTATGAGACATTCTATAAGAAAAAACTTTTTTAGTTAGAGAAATTTGAATGTATGATAGTGTTTGTTTTTCATTAATGATACTCTGAGAATATGTAGTATACTACTGGAAATGATTGAACAGATTAAGGGAACATGCCTTACATTTGGTCTATTATTACTTAATTAAATTTATGTTTTATTTGTGTTGTATGATGCTAAATTGCACTTCCACTCTCATTAATACAGACTATAAAGGTTCTAATATCAAGATTATTACTTTTATGTCTGTATATTATTTGACAGTACATAAGCTTGTAAATCGATGTCCACATACAATACATGGCACAATACTATAGGAATTTTTTTCTTCTTTAATACAACAGCTATCAGTAGCAATATGTTATAAAAAAATAATGTGCCAGCTATCAAAATACGTATATACCTTTTTGAATGAAACTTTAATATAGTATACCACTTTAATATTTGCTATTGTACTTAATCAGGTTTTTGTAAAAAACAAAATTTTAAAGGAAAGAATTTATAATATCTTTCAGTTGTGTTTTCTCATAGCACAGAGTCATTAGGCTTAAAAATGGCGAATCAATCATATGTGTTAGGCCTTAAAGTTCTAGTACTGTGCAATATCTAAAATTTCAACAAATCATATTATAGATTTATGTTGCAGCCACTTGATCGGTATAAGAATGTAGTCTGTCTGCAAGAGGTTTCATGTATACCCAACTACCGTCTTTGGTTTCTTTGAACAGCTATTAAGAGACAAAACATTATATAATCTGTTGGAACAAATATAAAAAAATATGAAACTCTGAAAAAAAAAAAGAAAAAAAAATGTACCTTAGTTTGCCAATTAACATTATTTTCCTTTCTGATACGCGCTTCATCCCGTTGTTTTTGTTCAATTGCACATTTCGCTGCGGTTGCCTTTTCCATATCATTAATTCTTAATCCAACAGTTACGTCCCGCCAAACTTTTCGTGATTCATGTTCTTCTTGTTCACAAATTGGTTTTACTAATTTTCTTTGAGTGTGAAGTTCTTTGACATCCGCAAATATTTCAGTTTTCTATAAACATTGAATTTATGAAATGAGATAAAAAGTTAATATTCTTTATACTTTTTATATTTTTTTATACTTACTCCATCTGCCCACTTTGCTTCCATAGCACCACTCCATTCTCCATTTATAACAACAAATGGTTTTTTATCTCCTGGTTGCATAACTTGGCAAGTAATTCGATTACGTTTACCACCATAAAAAGGTTTTGTCAAGAATTCTACAGTAGCATGAAAGCCAGTTTGTACACAATGTATAGTTGCTGTACCTCCTAATTCTATCCATGGTACAGTAAGAATAGATCTGCCATAACCATTTGGAAAAGTTAACACATATTCCTCTCCATGTTGTGATACAGTTACCCAACCCTTCCCAACATTATGTACTCCTATACTCAATCCAAGAAATTTGCTCTTTGTCCATACATGAGCACCAAAACTAATTTTTTTTGCATAATGTTCAGCATAAAATGCACTTACTACAACACAAATATTATTATTTTACCCAAACAAATGTTTCTAAAGCATTTTAACAAATACAGAAAAGACTTACTGGGAGGGTGATGAGATACTTGTTCAGCAATAAAGGAAAGTTGATTTTCTTTGCACCAAGGTAAAGGACCTTCAACAACTAGTTTCGAATCATTTGAGCTATCAACAATATCACTAGGAATATCCCAATGACATCGAAACATTTCACCTAATATTGGATTATATGGTTTTTTAGCTACACCTGATTTGCGACCAGCATGGAAACTGCATAAATACCAACGAACTACTTGAACCATTCTATCCTTGGGAGTAGACATATCTGCTATGCTAAAATATGCAATGCAGTAATATACCAAAAGCTTCGATATCTCTAATAATCATGTACAGTAGTTGATTAGTTAATAGAATATACCTCACAAATTGATCTGGGTGTGTAAAATAATCTGCATACATTTCTAGAAGCGACCTGCGCTCCAAAATAAACGTAGGTAATGCCACTTTTGTTAAATCCATACCAATTTTTACTTGAGATAAAAGATGAGTTACAACGGATCCATGAGATTCCATAGAATCCACTAAAAAGCAACACAGATATAAATATTTAATATTATTTCAATGATTTAAAAATTTATTATTATAATAATTACTAACTTTCTGTTTCGCTTTCTTCTTCGTAAAGGGCTGTAACATTTAACATAATTTTATAACAATAATTCATAAAAACTAACATTTAGTACAATTAATGGGGGTTGTGATGACATTTGTCAATTTAAAATCTTAAATGCAAAAACTACAGTAGAAATATTCATAAATTGCAAGGACTACATTAAATTTATAAAAATTGTTATGTGTATTTTATTATGTTTAAAAGACTTACTGTTTGAATCTGCACCCAGCATATTGAGTTTTTGTAAAATACCAGCTAATATCCATTTCTAAATACTTTCATTATATGAAATTGATTATACGCGACACAAACGTCGTTTTCGAAGGAACGAAGTTCTCGAAGATAAAAAAACTATTTGAAGTTGATTAAATTTTTCTTTTTTTAACTGTGCCATACTATAAAACATGCACACTAGATTTTAATTGCAAATTTGATAAGATTTTACGATAACACGATAATTCACGTGTCATGTAAGATACCCTTTAAAATCAATAATTGCAGTTGCGGGTAAGGTCGACTGGTACAAACCTGCATTATCGATGATAAGGAATACAATTTTTTGGTTTTTTAATAGTTCGCAATTCCCTCCTGGTTTAAGTTATTTTTATTTCACTATATTCTGTTTGATATTCTTAGTTTTTAAATGTAGATATATTTATTACAAATAATTAACAAAAATAATAAGAACTATTCTAATATATTTGAATAAATCTCTTAATTTTGTTAAATATTTGTATATTTTCTTTGTATTTTAATTCACATTTTTCATTAAAATTTTTTCTTTAATTTTAAATCGTAAAACGTTACTGTATACAAACACATAATAAAGGCTTAAAATATAATATGTATATACAAAGAAAAATCAATTGTGCATCAAAATTTTATTTTATATTTCCCAAACAATATGAAACATAAATCTTTAAATATTTAATATAGAGTATTACTTACCATCATAATCAACTGATCCATCGCCTTTTGTAGGAGGTAACGGTGCTTGCTTCCGATTTTCACTAGAAATATCGCTATCCCGTCTTCTACTAAATCAGATAATCATAAAATATATCATGCATAGTTTAATTTCATATTTAAAAATCTATGAATCCCAATAGATGCTTACATAGTAATATGATTTTGTATTGCAGAAGGAGGTGATATTTCGTCTGCTGCATCATAATAATCTTCATCTTCATCCGAAGATGAATAAGAAAATTGCGGTACAGGAAGATCTCTATCCACAACAGCTTTACAAGTAAAAATCATTAAAAATACACATTTAAAATCCATATTTCCACATTTAACAATTTCATTTTTTTTTATGTTATATCTTAATAGTTTATCATTTATTTGAAATTCATTGCATATAAATATGGAAAGGTACATTACCGTTTGGTAATGTAGGTATCCTTGCCTCTACACACTCAGAACCTAATTCAATTCCAGTCTGTACAGTTGCATCTGGTTCTCTAGCAGCAACTAAAATTTAATCCATTATAAATATTTTATTACATGCGCATTTTAGAGAAATATAAATACATACCATGAGATAAAGGAGATGAAACGTGTACTGAATCAGTGGGCCCTCTATATATTCCATTTACAGGTATTGCTGTATTCTAAAAGTATTAAATGTATAAAAATTTATTATAAAACCCATTAAAACAGGGTATTGTACTTATATTGAGTTTCTACCTTTGCAATTTGTAACTGAACAATTGTATGTTTAACAGAATTAAGCATTGCATTGGCTTGAGTCAAAACTGCTGCATATTTTTCTTGCTTTTCTTCGTCTTCTGTAGCAACAGTTCTTTGTTTTAATTCAATTAATTTTATTTGATCAATTAACAATTGAAGATAAGCATCTGCTTCAGCAACTTTGCGATCAAAATCTTGCTTGGGAGGAGATTTTTTGGGATCCCATCTCTAAAATAATAATATGAATTTTACTTAATCAATCATTATACAAGAATTAAAATAAATCTAGTTTCTCTTCTCTTCATAATATTTAAGCAATTATACAGCATATGAATGACGTAATATAGTATCTTCTAAAGCACGAATCCAACGTTCCCGTTCTTCTGCATTTCGTGTTTGAAAATGAAATGTTTTTGGATCATCTTTATATGATGATGTAGTAATTGTAAAGGTGCTATCATCTTCATCATCAATACCTATAATAGCACCTCTTAAACGTACACATCCTCTACGTGCTCCTCTCATCATCTTCTCTTTACTCTGTAATATCATTGAAATTAAGATTTGAGCATTTGTGTTTAATTGCCATATATTATAATTATTCAAAATAAAATTTTTACATGATATCAACTATTTAAGTAATTATGCAATATTAGTCATTGACAACTGAGTTAAAATTGATGTAACATGAAAATATTCATAGTGATAATACATTATTTTCAAGCATAATGTATGTTTATCATATAAAATTGATAAGTACTTTCTTTAAGTGTAAATTGATAACTTAAATCTTAGAGATCAGCTGATTATGACAGATGTATGAGGTTTTAAAAAGCTATAAATAACACTTTGTAGAACAACAATAAATTAACCAATTAATGGTATAAACTAAAATGTGTCTTAAATTGCAATTTTGAATTACTCGTTAAATAATTTTTTTAAAAGAAAATGGGGTGTAACCTGTTAATGACATAACGAATGAACATTAAAGACAATAGTGTAATATTAAAAAACTCTGACCGTATAATATGACAAAAGACCAGCATTATCGTCTAAAACGAACCAACGATATTGCCATCCATTAACAACATTTGTCCATTTGCTAAGTGAACCTTCCATCGTCGACATTGTTATTTGTTGCTCACTGTTATTCGCAAATGTATGTGTATGCTTACTTCTATTATGTATATATACATATGTATGAATATATGTATAAAGAAAGAGGGGAAAGCGAGTCAGAGAGAGAAAGTGAGAGAGAGAGAGAGAGAGAGAGAGAGAGAGAGAAAGAGAGAATTTTGCGTATGAATGTGTATGTACATACGTATAGGCACGTATGCTGTATGAATGTATAGAAAGGTAACTCAATAAGAAGGTTGACATAAGACGAATTTTCAAATATTTTTATTCAGTTAAAGTTAAGTGGTGTAACATTTAAAAAACCATTGTCAAACGCCGTACGTTTAATACATTTAATCCTCTAAATAATTTAAATATTTATTTGTTTTTATTCGACAGACATAACAAAGGAAACAGGTTCCTTTTTGACAGAAGGCGATTCTATTTAAAAGAAACCTATTCGCACCGGTTTGCTTATCATTCTAGTTACTTCTTGTGGTCTACGATTATGAAAGATTATATTACTATAATAATAAAATAATGATTACAGCGTGTAGTAGCGAAAAATTGTATAAATAATCCATAGTAATATTAATACAATGACGAATTTTACATTTAACGAACAAATAACTAATTAAATAAACAATTTACTCTTGGCCTGAGTAAATAATAAGAAAAGAAAACATCAAACGTTCGATTTAGCCGCTTAAGAGAAAGCAGGTAAGATTATCTGTGCTCAGTCAGCTGATTAATTACTTTTTCACTAAAAGCTATGCATGTTATGTTGGTGTAATAGTACGTAACGTTTCTTGTGACCGTTCAGTAAGAGTTCGATTAGTGGTACATAAATTCATAGTTTGTAAATGTGTAATTTTATAATCTAATGTATACATTGTTACAATTTGCAGTTTATGAACTTTTTTTTACTATAAGTATAAAAGAGATTTAACGTACTATTTAAAAACGTACAGTGTTTAACTAAGAATTTTTAGGGAATTGCATGCTTTGTTATGATAGTGTGATTAACATTGTGCATATCTGGTAGATGAAATACAGTATTATTTATTTTAATTTTAACAATACATTAAAATACTAATTAAAAAAATGCAAAAGTAATTATGAAAATGTTTATACAATATATTTATTAAAATATTCATGATAAGATGAGCAAGTTTTATTTAGTTTTGCTATTGTAATTTTTTAAATTACTACTTTTTAGTTTATTTTATTATTATAGATCTGATCTACATCTGTTTATGATATATAAGTGTACACAGTAAAATAAATAAAAATTTCATACTTCTATATACAGTAAGAAATAAATATGGAGAAGAAACATGGTTCAAGTCTAATGGAAGATGAAGAACTGGAAGAATCAGAAAATATAATAATAAATGAAGTCGATGGATTACCAAATTTACATCCTAATTATCAACAATTAGGGCTAGAATTTGATGTAGAAAAAGGACATTCAGATACAAGTACAAGGTCTATGGAAGATTTAGTGCATGATGAAGATTTACCAACATCAGTTATTGTAACTAATGTAGATCCACGAGTTTTTAAAAGTGATGAGTTAAAGGTAATTGAAAGATATAATAAAATTCAATGTAATGACTATAAATCATATTAAATGTTCTGTTTTGTTTTTACAGCATGAAATAGAGGACCTTTTCAAACAGTTTGGGGAAGATGCTACATTTCAATATTTCAGATCATTTAGAAGAATGAGAGTAAATTACAGTTCTCCGAATGCAGCAGCAAATGCTAGGATACAGCTGCATCAAACTCACTTTGGTGAAACCAATATCAACTGTTATTTTGCACAACCTGTTACGCCAATAGGTTTGTAAAAATATATTTTGCTTTAGAAGAATCAACAATAATTTTACTGATTATAAAAATTTTATAGATGTAGAAGACCAACATCTTCAACCACCAGCACTTACTAAACAGTTCCTAATTTCACCACCTGCTTCACCACCTATTGGATGGGAGCCTAGAGAGGAAAGTGAACCTTTAGTCAATCATGACTTATTGGCAGCTATAGCAAATTTATCTGCAGGTTCTGTTGTTTAAGTAGTTTATAGTATGCTTCATTTTTTTGTACACTTATGTATATATATATTAATTGTAAAGGTAATCTTACAGGAGGTAGCCATGAATTACACCCTGGAGGTTCAGGACAACCTGGCATAGTTGTACACGTTTGTGAAACAACAAATCCTATGAAAAATGTTCCACGTATTCAACATACACGTTGTCCAGAACATTCATAAACAGCTCTATTAGAAATATTGTCCATCCTTTGACAATGAATTATTTATCCATCCAAGAAGCAATTAGAGGCATTACAGACAATGATATTCAACACTCACAAAATTTGTATTGCAATATTGCAAAACTGATACTTTACTTAATTTGTGACCACAAGGTCACTGAAAATAATTTGTAATGTTTTTTGCTCAGACAAATATATGTGAGTATTTCAAAAAAGTGATAGATGTTAAACACATAAGTGTATTCTAACATTTTATCACAAAAGTTATATTTTTGTTTTCAGATAAATAATATTTTATGCTGACATTGCAAACAAAAATACGTGATATAATGTCATAATTTAAAAATCATCGAATACTAAATAACGTACAAATAAAACACTAGAAAAATGTACACAATGTTTCAGAATAACTTTACACTGATTCTTATCTTCTTTTAATTTCAAAACACCGTTTAAAATATTAGATGCTTACTTACGATTGTAAAAACTAATAAAACTAATATTAAAGTGTCAAGAGTAAAAAGTATTGAAATTAGCGATATCAAAGTTTAACTCGAAGTATCGATGTTATAAATAATTTTAAAGGTACATAAAATTTACGATCTTAGAAAAAGAAATTAGAATTAAATTCTTGGTATAATAATTATCTCAGAATTTCAAGAAAGATTAACTTGAGAAGTACAGATTTGTTACATAATGAGTGTTTGTGTGATAAGTTTAAGGGCAGTTATAAACATTGATGTATATTTAATGTACATACATGTGATTATGAGAATGTATCACGTAAACACATGAGAAGTGGTATCACTGATATTGTTTCTTGTTATATTTTAATTAAACAATATTCAAACTGAAAGATGAACGGTTCTCGTCATTTTAGAAAAAATTTATATATTATTTACAATGTATTAGTGTTACTGTTTTATTGTAACAGTGATATTTACGTGTATGTGTATGTAAATGTATATAATGTTCCCACTCACACGAGATATATTTCATATTGGTGTAAGATTTAATCTAATATAGAACTGTTGAAAATTTATAAATATGTTATAGCAAATTACTTTTGTGTGAATAAATATGTTATCCAAAACTTGTTTTTTATGACTGAATCTTATACAAACTAAATAAAAGATATCTTTCAAGGTTTGTTGAATTATTTAATTTAAGTTACTTTAAATTATTACTTTACCTTAATTATAAAAGATCGCATTTTCATTACGAAAAGTTGTTTATTTTATCATAGTATTTTCGGGAAGAATAAGATGCATCGAAATATATAAAAAATCCTGTTTTTTAATTTCGGAAATGTCCACTTTTACACTTGTCAATCGCTTATTGAAATAATATAAAAGCTTTATACACATAAATGTTCTTAATATGTGAGTCAAGATTTCATGGTTGACACAGTTGTGTAAAATTTTTTCAGTACAGAGATTATACACCTTTTTGTTATTATGGTAACATGAATCTGAATTGTTTAATGTTACATTTACATGTAATGGTATAGGCCATATTTTATGTTTTCTGTGCGTATAAATTTTTGTGACTGAAAAGTACAAATTTTATTTTGATTAAAAGAATTGCGACAATTAATACAAAACAGAATACTAGAATGTTATACAAAAAATTTCTGTAATTTATGTACTTTTTACAATTTAAACAAGTTAATAAAAAACAACTATACTTGGAAAATATGTACACTTGCAGTAAATAAACATATCCATGCATTATACCATTTACGTTTCAACATATATTAGAGTGTATAATGTACATACTATGTACATACATATACGTACATAAATGTCATCATTCAAAATTAAAAACATCTGTGACAATTTTTATTTAAAATTATGAGGAGTTTTCTTTTGAGATTTATAAATATTTTAAATAATCTATTTTGCTTTTAAAGTAGAGTAAAATTATCAAATTACATTAAGATCACAGACAAAACAGAAAATATGAAAAAAACATCAATCTACTGTTTCTTGACGAAATTCGAATTATACTAAAGGTAAGAGATAATGTTTTTATGGAAGGGAAAATTATTATTGACGTCTGTACATTTCGAATCAAAAATTTCTAAGACTATACATCTTTTTCACAGATGTCTTTAAGTTAATTCTTTTGTTTCTTATAAAAAAATCAATAATAAACTTTGCCATTTGTTACACCGTTTAAATTTCCGAAATAATGTAGTAGTTTTTCAACTTAACAAGTTATATTTTTATGGTCGAAGGCGGTATCGTAATAATTTGTGAACGATATGACTTTGTATGTCAGTACTAACTTTTCACTTGAAAGATCTGTCTCTGTTTGTGAACATGTTACAAACAACATTAATATCTTTCAATTACATTGGAATTTTTGAGCATACATTTTGGTAAAGAAAAACTGAATCTTTATAAAAATATAATATTAATCATAAGGATCTGAATAGTATTATACGTATGAATAATCCCGACCTATGCCATGTATACAAAAGTGTTAATGTCATCGTCGTGTCTACGTATATATTTATGTTCAATCAGCCATTCAATTTGTTCTTTTATCATTTTTTTACTTGGCAAAAACATGTTCTTTAATATATCAACTAATTCAGTTTGCAACTGAGCATTACTAATTTTTTTGCGCATAACTAAAAATAAGAAATTTGAAAAAAAAAGAAAAGAAAAAAAAGAAACAAATTTACCTGAACTCTTAGTATTCTAAGTTGTACAATGGATTGGTTGTCTTCTTCTTTACTTCGTTCAGTTGATAGTTGAAGTCTTCCTATTAAATTAATTTTACCCCGTTTTTGTAATTTGCCGTTTTTTCTAAAAATTAAAATTGAAAGTTAATTATGGATTTTTAATAAATTAAGTTAGTATGCAATTTTTCAGAATATATTACTAACACAATGGCGAATTCTTGGTTCACCCAAAATCTTGTATCATTTGCAAAATCTTTGGGACTGTGCGCATGTGGTTCTACTAGAAGCAGCTGACGTTTGAGTTTTGGAAAGGCACACAAAGACCATAAAGTTCGCCTCAGTTCGGGATCAGGAAGTTCCGTAGCCAATCGTAAATTTTCGTACGATATTTTTTCAAACGGTCGCTGATTCCACGCAAATAAAACTGCCATTTGAAATGTTGTTACGTCCACATCGAAGCGTCCCACTTGGTTGGAAAATGTTATCTGGAACACCATCCAAATTGGTTGCAAGGTGAAGCTGAAAATTAGAACCGAGATATTGAATTTTTTGAAAAGTTCTACGCTACACCCACGTTTGCTGGATCATAAAAATGTATGTTGCTCTGTTTTAGTAAATGTATATTGTTTTCATTTAAAATTACATTAATATTTTCATTTCTGTAGATTGAAAGAATTGCCTTCGATCAGTAATAGTTCTTAACAAATGTAAAAATATCTGTTTCTAATGCTCTCTGACAAGACGTTTTCTTTCTTACCGTGCCATTTGACATGTGATGATACCACTGCAATTTCCTCCCACTATGTTTCTTTTTATAAAATTCTTCTACTTCAGGAATATAATCTTCCAATTGTAGCGGTAAACTTACAGTAACGCGTTCACTACCTCTAGCCCATGCACCCGCATTTAATATCTACAATAAATTACATTAACGCGTACTTCAGTATACATTTGACAGTACGTAAATTAAAATGTTGCTATGACATCTTAATCGGTACCTTAATATTTATGCTATCTGCAATAGCTGCTCTACATTGTTCTTTAAATTGTTGATTGAGATCTTGTGATACTTTTATGTCTTGGAACATTCGAGCTAATTTATTAACATAATCAGCAGGCATTCCAACTTCACGAAGCCATTCAACCATATTCTCCTCTTTTTCAGAATCCGCAGATGTGTCTAATATTAAGCGCCTTGTTAAATGAGCTTTATGATAGCGCATAAATACATCCTTATTTTGAACATATTTTAACACTAACAACTAAAACGAAATTAACATAAGATAGATATGAGATAAAATAATGTTAAGTATTATAAATGTAATAAACATGCATAAATCAAAATACATACTACATCTTTTAATTTGCTTTCAATTTCATCAGAAGTTAGTTTCTTACTGAGTGGTGTTTTCCTAAGTAACATATCACAGTAGTTAGCAAGAAGTTCTGGACACTTTGATTCTGGCTGTCCATTACTGTTGTTATTAGGTTTATTATTTAAAATCGTTGTACCGATACCAGAGCTTTGACGCGCAGGTAATTCTAGTCTGAATACTGTCGCGTCATTTACAACACGTTTATAAGCTTTATCTCGAGCAGTTAAAAAACGGGGATCATCGCCGAATGCTTCTTTAACAAGAACTGTAAACCGACGAAAAAGGTCCAATAGTCTTTCGACATATTTTTCCGAATCTTGAGTAATAACATCTACAGCTGCCATCATGTCAGCCAAACCTGCACTTGCTATATGTTCCTCTAAATTTTTTAACATTGGACCAACACCTTCGGGAACTCTATCCATTAATTTCAGCATTAGCCTAAGTTCTATAATAATGCATTCATTATTATTATTATAGTAACAAGAATGAAATATTTTAATTCGAATAATATTATTCTTACTATCTGTTTGACGATGTTGAATCATTCTTGGGCATTCTGCTAATATAGATGGCTTAAAAGTTGCTACTAATACACGTACACAACAATCAGTCAAAAGCTGCACACTAGCACTGTTGGGTTCTAAATATTTTTGAGCACGAAGTTCTTCCTCCCGCAATTTTGCATCTGCATAACGCATATAATTTTCTACACCATGTAAGCATAATTGTTCAGGTGCTTTAACCCAGTAAAAAGCTTCTGTTGCTTTTATGTATGCTGCTTCAAAGTTTTCTCTATAGATTTGAAGCTTGTCTGTTGTATTTGAACATAAATTTACTGAAATGTTTAATATAATTGTGAATATTTATTAAGTACATATTGATATCTTGTATACATTGGAAGAAAGTTTATTACCATAAGATTCTCTAACACCAATAACAAGTTGTGAATCAAATGCTTCACCATTTCTTTCAGCACGAACAAGTCGCATAGCTGAATCCTGAAGTCTGTGTTTTATCTCCCCAAATATGTGTTGATTCCAACTATCTAACATTAACTACAACAAAAAAGAAATTGTTATTGTATTGCTTATTGAAAAATTAAAACAAAATCCTTACTTTTCTGATAATGTCATCAGGCTGATTTTTTTTGGGAACACAGGATGGTGCTTTTCCACCAAGAGATGTTTCTAATTGTCTAAACGGTGTTGGTAAATAATTACACTGTGCAAAAAACTTTCTCCATTCAGCTATATATGCTTTTAACAGTGCTTGTTCCTCTTGATGTGCTAAAATTCTCTGAGAGCACAAAACAATAATTTTTTCTTTTCATTATCTGTGTTTATATGTATATGTTGAAGTTATATTTTGTATCCATACCTGTTGACCTTGTTTTATAAAATCCATTATGTCATCTTTGAGTGCATTTAATAATTTAAGAGGGCCATTGTCATCCCACACACATACTGAATGGACAGAATAAAACAAATCTTGCCATTCTACTTGAGTGACAGGTTCTTGTTCAAGTAGTTTCAAAATAGTTGATCGCATACATGGCCATTTGTCTTCAAACATACACTGACTTTTGTCCTGAACATGCAATTTAGCAAATAATATAAATAAAATGTTATAAATAAATATTAAAACTTATAATTAATATTAACATAAAATCAACTTTACTACGTTATTTGTTATAAATTTTTTAACATTTAAGCATTATTTATATTTTCATTGTACAACAGAACGTAAAAACTGAAATGCATATAAAAATAAATAATAATTTTCCAATGGTTTTATTTAGGAAGAAACAAAATTATCATATCAACGAAAAATTAGTATTTCGTTGCTGAAATTTATAAGTGCGTTAATTATTGGTGGATTAAAATAGTGATAATATTATGTCGATATTTTCAAACACTTAATATAAAATTGTATATACACTTAACCATGGTAAATTTTCAAACGTTCTTTGACAATTCAAACACTGCATAGGTTATCAAGATTTATGTGTTATGATTGAGAATACAACAATATAACAAAAAATCTTACGGATTTAAAAAAATATTTTAAAACACCTTCTTGAATATGAATTAATTTTAAATACGAGTTTCTTTATTTAACGACAACTAACCTTTAACGTCACCGCCATCACAAATTTTGGACACATCCTATACCATGATGCGTCTACGCCAATGAGTACAAACAGTGCTGTAAATAGATTAATTAAAAGAATCGGTTTGAATATCAATTTGTGCTTTTATAGAATTGTTATACCATTGAAATGTTTTTTATATTTGTTTTTTTTTTGAATAACGTTTATATATTAATATATAATTTGATCATTTTACACAAATTTATTATTTTCATTACGTTCTCTATTCGTTTAAAATGTTACTTTGGAAACTTCATGACAAATTATTTTGTCCTTTTATTATTAGACTTTACGATAGTATACAAAATATTGTCTATTAAATGTTTTCTTAATATTTTTAAGTTGTTAATAGTATGAAAATAGTGTAATAATATAACAAGTATAGATCTGGTTATCTTTTTAAGTTTAAATGTAAATTTCTGACAGCGCCTTACAAGATCGATCTATTACTATCCTTTACGTATTATATGAAATTTAATCTTTCTGAACGTAATAAATTTTCAGATACAAACGTGAATGTATAATATTATTGGACACTGATATAAGAGTTTATAAGAGTTCTAGGCCACATAAACGTTATTCTGCATATATTCTTAGTTAAAATGCTTTTCAAAATTCAGCCTTTTAACATGTAATAAAATTAAACTTTATTGCAAATTCCGTTCATATATAGCTTCACATAAATATATACTCAATTTTTAATATTTCGAACATTTTTATTGTACTGTTAGTATACGATTCTTCGACTGTACTAATATGATATTGTATTTGTAAGTTTTCAATAAATTAAAAAGCACATGACGATATAAAGGAAAAATCTATACTTTTACAGGCAATTGACTGTTTAATTAAATATTAATGCTAATTGCAAATTAAATATTTTACGTATTTTTTTTTGAAATATTTAATGATTAAATAATAAAATAATCGTTACAACATTCTACATCCATCCTTAGTAATTATTAACAAATACAATAAGTACACGTGGAACCAAAATTGGATCTAGTCAAGCGAAAAGGTGGGAGGCAAACAACTATTTATCTATTCGTTGAAACGAAGTTATTTTAATGTGTTTCCGGGTCTTGAAGTAAGTTGAACGTTTTGAAATTATATGTATATACAGAACCTATTATTAAGTGGATGTTAAATAATGTTAATTTACTAGTAACAAATTTAAAATATGCAAACATTTAAATCTTAACATATTACTATAAAATTTGTTTGTTTGTATCAATATGTATTAATTTTACATATTTTGCATATTTTTTACAATTATTTTGTATAGTGGTACACAGTGAATAATTATATGTCTAGTATGATAATTAAGCTAATAATTTAACGACACAAGTCCATATGTTGGTGATAGCGTAATTGTAGTCACATAGTTCAGATTACAGGACATCTGACATGGACGAAGTAAAACATTCCAGTTGCTTGTAATACCGTTTTTTTTCTACTTTAATAACATATGCAGCAAGCCAAAAAGTATTATATTTGCATAAATATAGATGGATTTATGTGTATCTAATTCAGGAATATTAATCAATAGGGAATACAATGAAAACGTCAATAAACTTTACTTTTGCCAGGAAGATTTACGTTTCTGGCGGCACGTAGTCTCATCGATATCATCAAAAGTGGGAAACATCATATCGCAGAGACACGCGATAATAATTTATTATCAGTTTTAAACGTGATTGAAAAGCTTACCAGTGTACTTAATCATGGGAAATAAATCCAGTGAAAATATGTATTTCAGTATTTTAATATTACTTACGGTGGTTTTACCTTCTGTTGTATATTGCAATTATTTTGGAACGAATAACAAAAAGAACGATCAATGTTTCTGCAAGGTATTGTTGTAATTGTTCTTTTTTTCTTTTTTTTCGTTATTCACATTTTTTTATTGAAAACAAACATAACCTACATAAATTGTATGTCAAATCTGTTAGTACATTGACTTAAAAATATTCATGTACTTATATATAATTGTAACTTGGAAACTTGTTTTGCACTTATAAAAAAATTCTTCAGTGACATTGATTGCTATTAATTTCATGCTTTATGAAGCTAATTAATTTATTGCACGATACACTTGAAATAAATTTGCTTAAATATGTATATTCTTATAACTGTGAACAATTGGATAATTAAATTTTACTAAGAAAAATTTTAGTTGAAAGGGTCAATCGATGACTGCAGTTGCAGTGTGGACACAGTGGATTACTTCAATAATATGAAAGTTTATCCAAGACTCCAGAGCCTTCTAGTCAGAGATTATTTTCGTTTCTACAAAGTAAATTTAAAACAAAAATGTCCTTTTTGGACTGATGATAGTAAATGTGCTATGAGATATTGTCTTGTACAACCTTGTCAAGATGTAAGTACTTAATGCACTAAATTGATTAATACAAAAATGATGTAATAGATATGATTAATTGTAATATTTCCTACTTGTAGGAAGACATTCCAGATGGTTTAAAAGGAGATATGCTGAGGAATATTCATTTTAACGAAAGTCCTGTGGATAAATATAAAGTCAGAGGAGAGTTTGATGAATGCTTACATAGTGCTAAAGACCATAATAGAGAACTCGGTTACTTAAATACGACAATTAGGTAAAGAAAAAAATACACAACAAGTGAACATGTAAAAAAAACAGTTTGCAACATTTAGTGGGGCTAAACTTGGAATTCATTTTGACATTTTGTATTTAGTTTAGAAAACTATAAAGATTTTGAATTGTGGCGGCAATACGACGATGCTCAAGATAATTTTTGTGTAAAAGAATCTAGTCCTGGTGAATATGTAGATCTTTTGCTAAATCCTGAGAGATATACAGGCTATAAAGGACGTAGTGCACACAGGATATGGCGCAGTATTTATATGGAAAATTGTTTCAGGTGTGTATCAAAGTGTGTATGCAAGGTGTAGCTCTGTTTTATACAAGTATGTTTAATTACAGACCTGAAAATTCACCGCATAATTTTATTCAGTCTTCAAAAATAAACGGTGAGTTATTTTAACGCAATAGCGCAAATGTTTGTGGTACATTTTAATTTATAAATTGGCTTTATTATAACATACTATTGCGATTGTAGGAATGTGTTTGGAGAAGAGAGTTTTCTACCGTGTTATATCAGGCCTTCATGCTAGCATTAATATTCACTTGTGTTCAAAATATTTATTATCATCGAAAGATACTTTAGCAATAGTACCCAGTGGTCAGTGGGGTCCTAATTTAGAAGAATTTCAAAAAAGATTTTCACCAGAGGAAACTGGAGGTGAAGCTCCAAATTGGTTGAAAAATTTATATTTTACTTATTTGCTTGAATTAAGAGCTTTGGCTAAAGCTGCACCATATCTAGAAAGAGAAGAATATTATACCGGTAATAAAGTACAAGATAAGGATACCCGTGTGGCAATAAACGATGTTCTAACTGTTGTTAAGTAAGTTGAATTTTATAGCTAACAAATTCAGTGTTTATGGGTTTGACGATGGTTCGATTATGTAACACGAATTTATTTCAGATCATTTCCTGAACACTTTAACGAAAGCGTCATGTTTACCGGTGGAACTGAGGCTCAATTGCTAAAGGAACAATTTAGACAACACTTTAGAAATATATCTCGTATTATGGATTGTGTGGGGTGCGATAAATGTAAACTTTGGGGAAAACTACAAATACACGGTTTGGGTACAGCGTTAAAAATTTTATTTTCGGGAAAATTCGACAAGTGGGAACCAACACTGAATAATTTTAGTCGGAAGTTCTTAGAAAGGAGCGAAATTGTTGCTCTTGTAAATAGTTTTGGAAGGTAAGTGCTATTCTTTTACATTTAAATGTAATTTTAATAGGATTTACAAAACAGGATAGAACGAATAATTGATATATAATGCAATTAATAATTTAAAAAATTTTGCAGATTGTCAGAAAGTATCTTCGAGTTGGATAAATTTAGACAAATGACGAGATAGCAGAATGTTACCTCGTAATTAGACGATTAAGTTAATAAAGTAAAAAAGAACATCACACAAATTATATAACCATTCATTATATAGTAAGTTTATAAATAAAATCGCAATAAAAAATTGTTACATTTTATGCTTAATATTTATTAACTTTTTTATTTACGGCAAGAAACAATATGGTATTATTATTGTCACATACACATACATACAGATAAATTGAACGATATATGTATTATCTTTGGAATTATAAGAAAGAAATTTCAAATTTCATAGGTTTGACTCTATATTGAAATTTTATTGCGATTTTAATGATAACTTGGACTCTATCTGTGATAAATATTTTGTCTATGGGAAAGATTCTAGTACCAGTCTCGAAAGTAGCATATGTGCAATTTTAGTTTTCAAAAAGAAACTCTAATTTTTATTTCTTGAATTCATAGTATTTTGAAACTTTTCTTAGTGCTACTTCTACCAATATACAATATATATATATATATACATCAAAGTTGGAATATTGTAGCTTGTCAGTTTAAGTTTATTTTTATTTTAATTGAAAAATTGTTATTAGTGTAATTGCTAGTATACTGTTCTGTTCATGACAAATAAGGTTAATTAGCAAAGTGTTAAGGAAAACGGATTGCAACGCGTTACGTTCAACGAGATATACATTATAAAAATCGTCCAACACGAACCAATTTTGTATAGGGATGTATGTATAGATGTTTTGGAAAATCTTATATTCCATGTTTTTGTATGTTGTTGCTATAATGAAAGTAAAGTTTCACATTATTTTCCGATAAATTTACATATAAACAGAATATACCAGTGTATTTGTACTTCTATATACCAATTCGTAATAATTTATAAAGTATTAATATCATTGTATATACATGTAACTCTAATTTATTGTCGCTGAATTATACAATTTGTAGATTGTAAAATAAACCACGTCGTTTATTTTACTTGTCAAATGAAATAGAAAAAGAAACGAGTAGATGTATATTTCTCAACATACTAATCGTTTTCAGAATGCTGACATTATATTACTGTATAGCGTTTATACGCGATCTCTTTAGGTGAATCAATTTGCTTCAGACATACTTGAACCACGTTAAATTGTAAGCTACAAAAGCGTATATTAAATGAAAATACTCTTGATAATTTCACTTGGAATGAAATGATTTATCTGAACAGATCGAACATCGTAACTAGCAAACTGTTAAAAGTGTTTTGCTTATTTATAAAGTAGGAAAAGTACAGTAGTATTTTCCATTTCACTGAAAAGTTTAATATGTGTGTAACTATATAAATAGATGGTAAGGTATTTTCAACGTAAAACGAATTAGAGTTCTTTTACAAAGCGTTCAATTCAACGGTACCGCGTGTCTGTATGTTTGGCCTAACGAATGCAGCTTTTCTTCCAACCTTGTACACTCACTTGTAAACTGCTTTTCAATAAATAATTTTTTAACATTCAACAAGTATTTGTTAATCATGTCGGAATATTTTCAATTAGAATCGTTCACCGTTTCTTAATCATGAATTACGTGCGAACCTCGAGCGAACGTTGATACGCAAAGTGCGATGTGATATGAACGCACCGCGTCGATAATCTTCTCGGATAACAGACACTTCGGTGTCTGTTATCTGAACCCGTCGAACGGATCGCAAGCCTAGTCGAGAAAGATCCTCGGCCACCCTGGCGACAATCTCGGTGGTTCATTACATTCGATCGAGTTTCCTTTTGAAATTCGTTGGCGTTTCGTTTACAATATGCAACGCGCGTAGAATCGTATATCCGTTAATCGCGGCGACGATCAATTTGTTTATTCAACTTGTCCAATTGGACGAACAAAACGATCAAATTTCGAATCGTTCGAATCGTTAGAAAGAAAGAAAGAAAGAAAGATGGAAAATCTATCGTTTTACGTATCCAACAGACTTTCTAGCTATCGCAACTAATTGGCCAAGAATTGCGTGACTGTTTCTCAATTAAACGAGGAGTGGTGGGCAAGCGACGAGGAACGTTCAGCTCTCCCGTTCCCTCTATCCTGTCATCTACACCCTTTATCGCATTTCCGGGTTGTATTATGTCTAGGGCATTCGTATACGATGTAAACAAATACTCGGTATCGTGAACTGTCATCAGGCACTTCGGTCAGCCGTCTTGTGGGAGTTACAACAGTGGCTTGCAGGGCTCGGTGGACGGATCGCGGCGTTAAAACTACCATTTGAAAAATTTCCTTTCGCGTCGGCTGGTGGTAGTAACCGTCGATCCTTCTAGTCGCTTGGCGCCTCTTCGTGTGATTCAGCTTCCGGGGGTGTCTTCTGTCTGTCAGAAAATAAAATCGCGCGTCGCGCTATCGGTAAGCGGAGCATAAGACCTTTGGGATTTTAAGTATTATGCTCCGATTATCAGTGGTACGTCGCGAGACAAGCATCACCATCGACTTTGATACGGGAATTTCTCGCACGACGACATTTCTGTCGTTCCACTGACTTGGCCGATTCCCATATTCTAGCATAATATTGCCGGGTCTCTATCGAAGGCATTATGCTAGTTATATGTGGTATCGTAAGTTCACCGTAATCATCATTTCTCATTTCTTCCGAACGAAACCGATTTGCAATACTCGATTATCGGGGTTATCATTTCGTTATCTTTTTCTCGCGCTCTTCACGAACGCTGCAACAAGGGAACGTTTGCGCAGCAGTTGTATCTTAGGATTCATCCGTTTCGGTCAACTCGACCTTTTTCCTGTGGAAAATGCGCGCGGCAGTGGTGGGCGCCGGTGTGATCGGCATGACAAGCGCGCTCGCGGTGAAAAATGCTTTTCCGCAGTACCAAGTGCATGTGTTTGCCAGCGAATTTTCACCGGAAACCACCGGCGATGGATCCGCCGGCCTTTACAGCCCTTATCTCACGGGGAACACTCCTCGCGGCAAAATTCTGTGAGTATCCGATCGTCACTTTTCGCGTTTACACGTTCATCCCCGTTTCTAATTGCGAACGCTTTGGCAGACAATGGGGTAGGATCACGCATCAATGGCTGGAGAAACTTTGGAAAGCAGGTCTCGCCTGTGAAATCGGACTCTCCTTGGTGCCGATATATCGCGTTACCAGCGATCCTCGAGGGTTTTCCGATTCGAGCTGGTCAAAAGTGGTGTACGGTGCGCACAAGTTCACTGAGAAACAGTTGGAAAAGTTGAACGAAGAAAACAGGGCGAATTATAAGTATGTACATAATAACAGTACCGATACAATTAACTGGTAATCTACAATTTGTCGTTTCTTTTCTTTTCTAGACACGGATGGATGTTTCTAACTTATACAGCCGAACCAATTCGTCTGTTGCCTTGGCTGACCAAACAGTTCCTCGAAGCAGGTGGAGAAGTTCGAAAGAGAAAGATTCATCAACTAGCCGAACTGATCGACGACGGATACGATTTGATAGTAAATTGCAGCGGCCTTGGCGCACGTGAACTCGTCAACGATGACACGGTTGCACCTATTCGAGGTCAAGTTACCAGGGTTGGTAATCTCGCGAGAGAAGCAAGTACTGCAACGCAATCATCTTTCACGTGTTCTTTCGTTCAAGGTGATCGCACCCTGGGTGATGCACGGCCTCCTGGAGGACGACGACCATGGACATTACATAATACCCAAGTAATTAGCGGCGGATTAGTTTTTTGAAACGTTCATTGCACGATGATTGTCTATTTATCTGATCGATTATGTTGAAAGCTTCGATAACGTGGTATTGGGAGGTACGCATCAGGAGAACGATTTCGATCGCTCCCCGCGAAAAGAGGACGCTCAGTTCATTAGTTCTGGCTGCTGTCGAATATTGCCCTCTCTCAAGGTACTCTGTATTTCTTTCATTTTTATTGCATTTGAAGTATAGCGTTCAACGCAGTTCGATGATTAATTGCTGGAAATTATTGTTGGAAAGAACGCGAAAGTGTGGAACGAGTGGGTCGGTCTCAGACCTGGAAGAGCAGAAATTCGTCTGGAACCCCAAGTTTTCAAGTATCTCGAAGGCAGAGAAGTTACGGTATCGAAAGTATACTGTATATCGTATATGTACCGAATCTGTATCCAAGTTTTTACCGAATACGTACGAGTTTTTCTAGGTGGTACACAATTACGGACACGGAGGGAGCGGCGTGACAATGTGCTGGGGCTGCGCTTCGGACGTTGTGAAGATTATACGGGACAGGAATAAGTTGAAGTCGCATTTGTAGAGCTCAAGGACCAAAGGCGATAATAAAGGATAGCTTTACAAAGGAATGTGATATCGCGTTTCTCTGTTTCGTAGAACCTTTCGTGATTCCTTGCGCTGTAATTAAAGTAACGAAGCAATTCTCGAGCCGCGTTTTAAGTAGGATTGTACCGCAGTAGTATCGATAAAGCCGCACTGTCGCAGCCTTTTCGTTCTGTTCACACAGGTTCA